TTAGGCCATGTGGTTGTTCCAGTCTTTTCATTTCTCTCCCACTTTTGTGTCGCGACAACAACAGTTTTGACTATAACTGATGTACTTCAATCAATCAATCAATCAGTCAATCAATCAGTCAATCAATCGGTCAATCATTTTATTTAGTGATGCAGGTTACAAAAGTGGCAGCCATGAGGCTGATGTGGACCTACAATTAACTAATAAAATGTGAAATAATAAACAAAATAATTTGTAAAATCACCCTATGGTATTAGAATTCAGTACAAGTCAATAAATATGGGTGCTTCGAATAAGAAGCTATTTATGTTTTGTGAGAGCCTAATTTATGTAAAATGTTTTTTAAACTGTCTTTTGGAACATTTGCATTAAAATTTACCAACCTAGTTATAAAATTCCAGATTACAGGGCCTCTGTATTGAGCTGATTCCTTTCCCACTTTGTATATCACCCTAGGGATTTCAATCTGTAACCCTCCCCAATGTGATGTTCTGTTGCCTAACTTCAAATTAAAAGGGGGTTATAAGACTTTATCATTTAAAATATCAAGGAAATCTGGAGCATGGAGGTTATTAAGGAAAAGAAATATCACAGACTTTGAAGAATATCTGATTACATGAAGTTCTCTTTAAAATCCTGGCAATGGCTGGCAATGGCTGGCAATGCTACAATCATTTCAAAGAAGCTTGCAACGATATCTAAACAACAAGAACTCCAAACTGAACATTCTCAAAGACCAAGAATTCTTTAAGTCCAAGGAAGTTCTTCTTTCTAAAAAGAAACAGCTGGTTTTTGAAGAAGCAAAAGGAAATTGCCCTCATGCTGCAAAAGAACTATCCAATGCCAAAGAAGATTTTTTGTTTCACACCGGTGAATTTGGTGCTGAAAACCCTGAAGCCCTCCAATGCACAGTTTGGTGGTTTTTGGCACTGCACTTTGGAATCTGTGCCCAAGATGAAAGCAGGAAACTAAAATGAGGCATTGTTCTTCAAACAGACAAGGAAACGGGCAAGGAATTTCTGATTTGGAAATCAGAAAGAGGATCCAAGACCCACTGCGGCAATGGTGATACACGAGCATTTAATCCAACCATGCAGGCAACAAACAACAAATGTTGTCCAGTTTTCTATTACAAGGAATTCAAGAGTCACTGTCCAGAAGAAATGAATAGTGCTGACAGCCCGTTTCACTTGGCCATAAATTATTGGCAACAACATCTGGTACATGAGGGCACCACTCGACAAAAATAAGATTGGTAAGCTGATGAAAATAGCTGTGCAATCAGCAGGCCTGCAAGGAAATTTTACCAACCACACAGTTCGAAAAACTCGTACATCTTGCCTAATGGATGCAGAGGTTGCCGTAAATTATGTCGCTCAATTGACCAGGCACAGAAATTTGAAGAGCCTCGATTCTTACAAAGCAGCGTCTGCTGACCATCAGCAGAAAATGTCCTTAATTTTAAGCCACTCCGGCCAAGAAAGCACTCAGACATCAACAGTATGCATCCACGAGAACACCACTTTGCCGGTGAATCTTTTCAAAGATGTCAGTAAATCAGGAGTTTTCTCAGGCGCTTGCATCGGGAAAATTAAAGGCTGCACCTTCACGTTAAACATTGCCCGTGAAAAAGAAGAAAGCCCAAAGTCCGCAAAGCCCAAGAAAAGAAGAATTATCATCAGCGATAATTCAGATTCTGATAAGTTAACTGAACTTAATCCACTATCTTCGGAAAATACTTTCCTTCAGATCCTTTGACTTTTTTCATTGAAGATTTCATCATTGCAGAGTCATTTAGCTTGAATTTGTTTGCCACGCTGACAACCAGAACTGTTGTTTGCTAAAAAATACGCATGTGATTTGTCCCTATGCGCTCTTAAATTGACAGGTGTCAGATTGTGACAGATACTTTTAAAAAAATGTTTTGAAGTTTTATTGGAAGCCTTTTAAATCCCCTTTTAATATCATTATGCAAATAAATATGTTTTGATGAAACCACTGTCTTTCATTTGCATTGCCCTTGTTTTCTCTACCATCTACTCACACAAAAATTGTTCCGTTTATGGAGAATCTTGCCATAATTACAGCCCTTTATCATTCAGATTCTTTTTGCAACCATTTGTTAGGTTTTAGAAATAAATAAAAATGTTATTCACCATCCAAGGTTGGTCCGTATTGGGAAAAACTGTGCCCTCTGTCTTGTGTACCGCCCGAGGCCTATGGCCTCAGGTGGTATCCAAGATAGAGGGCACAGTTTTTCCCAATACGGACTTCCTGTCTGTTGAATAATATATATGTAGTTACTTAATCTTGTTAGGAATGCAGATCATGCCTCAGAACAGCCTTCATTTTGCTCAGTTTTCCATAGTGCTGTATTTTTCAAAATAATCTTCTCAAATATTGTTATTTCTGAGACTATTCTGGGACTGTAAGATTATACTGTAAGAGTTAAAGAGGTCTGCTTTTATTCTCCCATTGTTTAGGTACATGCAGGTCAAATTTTGTATTCTTTAGTGAATTTGTATTCTTCTGCTCTACTCATAGTAAACTGAGAATAAGCCAAACTGTTGTATATATACCTTTGTTATGTTACACTAACACAGACAAATGGCCAATTTGTTTAACATCACATTAACAGACTTTGGTTTTTAATAGGAAAGTGAACAAGAGTGAAAATGACTTGGCAAGAATCAACAAGACACTGGCTAGACTGGCTGTAAACATGAATACGGATTTATCAAAAAATTCCAGGAGATAAAGGAGATTTAGTTGTTACTAGTATTGAAGTTGATATCTGAACCAAGTGAATGGTTACTAATATCATCTGCAGATCCCTTTCACTACCTTGTAACTTGTACCTGGTGACTTTCATACATTTTTGAAAGTCACTAAAGCATAACACATTAACAGACAACACATTGCACCAAAACTTGTTCAATTTTTGAAGATATTTATTGCTGTAAAAGAATATACTTAGAATTCCACTTCCGTGAAAGGTATCAGAATTGTAAACAAATTCTGGATCAGCCACACAGGTAATACGTAATACAACACGTCACTATGACCAAAAAAATGCCTTAAATTTCACAAAGTTTTCAATTAAATGAAGAGCAGCTGAACTAACACTTCTAATCAAATGTGTTTGACGACCCAGATTTTTCAAGAGCATCTTAATTTTGACAAATATTCCCTCAAGTCACACAGGAAAAAATGCAGTACAACGACATTGTCTAGGTAACGATATGTGTTACCAACCAATTTATTGCGTTTTAGCTCAGCCAAAATATTATAAAATCAGTTTAAGTGATCTGTTTTATATAAATTCTTCGCTATCAGACCCACCAACATTGTTGACATTTCAGAACTACTCAAGCTAGACGTCAGCTATTAAAGCATACAAAATATCCATTTTCAATTAGTTCGAAGAAAAGCATTTTGTGACCATTTTGAGTCACGAAAACCAAGATCAAACTCACATGCATCATCAATAGTACACCTAGCATGGTGTTAAACAGCATTACTAACCTGATAATGTTTCTGCCTTACTCTCGGATCTTCCCAAGATGTTGTCCGCGTCTTATGATCGATGAAGAATGGTTTTCCAGAAGTAGGGTCCACTTTCATCTCCCAGCCTTGAGGGAGAGGCGGATAACCAGGTGTACAACCTTGATAAATTTCCATCTGATGGCTATGTGCTGTAAAGCTCAATGCAAAAGAGCTCTTCCGTCAATATTTTCAGAAGATAAATGAGTTGCTTCCACAACGTCATTAACGTCCGCCATTACACCTTGCTGATCGCAAAGAATTATGGGTCTATTACAGGTTATCTATGAAAGAGTTGGTATTTCCACACCCCGCCTGAAAATATGTTTTTTGTCTGTTGTTGTGTTGCTGTTGCGGCAATTTTTTCCCACTCTTTCGTGAAGATATTAGCCATCTCAGGTTCAGCCTTAAACGCTAAGTTACATTTTGTAAACAAGGGTGAAGTAAAATTTGTAACTATTTTCTGATTTCAGAAAATTACTAGAGTGGGAAGTGGACCCTCCGCTTTGCCACTACACCAGCAAGTCGATAACTGAATTCTTAGCCGATATTTAAAATAGAGAAGTATGTGTTGTAAATCTTTAGTGAATACAAAAGCAAACCGCATGTAAATTGCAACAAAATCCAAGATGTTTCACTCTGGAGAGCGGGGCTAGATGTAGACGGCCTCAGTAAGCCTTTAGCTCTTGCCGGCTCGGTCGCGGGTGTAATCAGGAGGAATAGTTTCGTTACGAAAATAGGGAAAATATAAGACCTTTTCTTAGGGTTTTCTTTCCATCCTAAAAAATAGTTGTTAGGGGATATCCATTACACCGGTCAGCTATGGACGGGAAGGGGTGCAGAAACGAAAAATTTTCCTAAAAATGTAAGTTTTTTCCATTATTTCAATGGTGGTCTCACTTACAATAATAAAAATCGCTGAACTTAAAAAAAGGGGTGCAGAGACGGAAAATGTCTGTTAAATCCATTTTTCTAATGTTGATCCCAGAAATACCAATAAAAATCGCTGAACTTAAAAGAACTCACTTAACTTAAAGAACTGGAATAGAGCTCTTCGTCAATATGTTGTTAGAAACAATCGTCGAGTGTTTTAAGTTGCAAGCATCGTAGCAGATTTATGCAGAATCCTCTACAAACAGAATGGATAATCTGCTCAATAACTTATTAGTCAAACGAACACATATGTACCGTGTAGGTCTGAGAGCGTTTAAACTTCGTAAAGCGTAATAAACTCGGTGCGGGGGTGGGGCTGGGGAACCCGTGTGGGATATTAGAAAAGCTGTTTTCGAGCCTTTTTCTGGTTACCCTAGTTTCTCAGGTAATTATACTTCAGTCTGCTGTAGAATCTCGAGGGAGAGTAATCTCCAAAAATTCGCGGGTTCTTGGTACTAAGATGTAGGGGGTTATTGTCCTGCAGATGTCAAGTCCAGAGTGCACTGCGTCGTGTTTGCTCTCATGTTTTGCTCCACCCTTGTTCGGCTGGGAGCGTTGATTATATCCTAAGCTTTATCATTCGAAACTTAAGTTTTCTTTCAGCTCATTTGTGCTCGCAGGTGCTTCTGTGACCGCACTTTTTCGCGAAACAGTGCTAAACAAATTCAGTCATCTAGAGCACTTATGACCTTACCCCACGCTTTGATCACACTGGATTGACTGGATTAGACAACGCCAGCTGATCCAGGGATTCATGAACATATAAAGATAGGTGTGCTAGTGTTAGAGGCTGGTTTGCAAAGCAGAAATTACGATTGAGAGATCAGTCTTCGAATAAGGGCGGCTACATTTTAGTCCGGTAAAAAGCTATAATGTTGGAACCAAAGGACCCGGATCTTTTGTGGATAGTTATTGTGGGTTTCATTGTTGCTTTTGTCTTGGCTTTTGGAATCGGAGCAAACGATGTAGCGAATTCATTTGGAACTTCCGTGGGAGCCAAAGTGTTGACTCTCCGGCAAGCCTGCATTATTGCAACGATCTTTGAACTGTCCGGAGCAGTTCTCATTGGAGCCAGAGTATCAGGTAACGGCCATCACAGGATACTGAAGAGAGTGTTTGACCTTAATTAAGTTTGACCTTGGAGGTTTCACCATGTCTGATGAATTTATTATGTATTCAAGATGCTTCTCTGTCCCTTTTGGTTTCAATGTTTATGGAAAGGGGTGATTTCATTATCTTAGGCATACTCCTCATTAGCAGATGTTTTTGTACGAAAATCGTCCTTATTGTGTTGAACAATGATCGTAATATTGCCTCAACCCATGAACAATTCGAATATCGTGAGATTAAGCTTACTGATCAACACGATATGAATTTAAAACTTCATCGTCAATGGCCCTGGAAGTTTACATAATAAATGATTTTTTTTTAAGAGAAGTTGATATTAGTTTCCAGTATTTCCATACAACAATAGCAACTCAGAGTACAAGTGTGTTCACTGATCCGATTCATTCATCTCCACAGCTGAGTGATTTTTTTAAGCATTTGAGGATACATTCAATTATTTTAAGAACCGAAAAAAACTTTTGTGAAAACATTCTTGTCCTTCTGACATGATTATTTTCTTTTTGCCATGGAGTTATTGAAAGATGTCATTATGTGGCTTCTATTGTTTGCAATTTGCAAGTTTGAGGTTTCACATTTGACCGTTACGAATGTAATTTCCAAAGTGGTTGGAAGGGCTGAATGAATATGTTTTTATGTTCAGTGAACTGTTTCATGTAATTTTGATAATTAGGATGCAAGTTACTTAGATTTGTGTCAGACAAGGTCACAATTTTAAGCAAAATGAACACTATTCTGGGTTTAATAAATATTCATGAAATACAGCCATAAAATAATAATTTTTCTGGTTACAGAATAAGTCAAGAGATCACATCATAGTTAAGAGTAATCAACAAGGGGGTTAACTGAGAATGATTAACACCAGTTTTTAAATTTCTAACTTCACTAATGTGGCCTGCAATGTGACTGCTCAAGGTGATATTAGAACTGTGAGAGAACAAAAAAAACTTTTAACTCGGGATTGGTCTAAGCTCTAACAATAAAAATGTTCTGAAATTTTTTAGTTTTATGCACTTGGTTTAAATATGTCATTAACAATGTCCAGAAATCATCTTCTATGTAAGTTTGATTTGCTAGTCACTTATTTCCACTTCACCAGCACTTTTAATTTGATAGCTCAAGTGGATCAGATTACTGTGATATAAATGGCCTTACCCATTTTCCTTCTCTTGCAATTTTGAAGTCTAATTTGTAAAATCACAACAAAAACTGTTCAGGTTAGTTTACTTAATTAAGTCTAATTTTCAATCCTTCAGACCAAATTATTAAAGGGACATGAATATTGAAGCTTTTGTTTTTCTTGTTCGTAGACACAGTAAGGAAAGGAATCATTGATATAAACTCCTTTAATGGTACTGAAGAACTGGCTATGATTGGATCACTGAGTGCTCTCAGTGGTACAGGAATATGGCTGATAGTTGCAACATTTTTTAACCTTCCTGTGTCAGGGACTCACAGTGTTGTTGGTGCTACTATGGGTTATGCATTAGTGGCACATGGGCTTGCAGGAGTCAAGTGGAAGACTTTTGGACTCATTGGTGAGTCTTTTAGCCTAAAGAAATCCATCATTCTTGATTACAATTGTGGATGATTAAAAGATTTGGATCAATATCCGTATCTGGGCAACTGCCCACCTACCCCTCCCCTAACCTAACATTCACCCTAACTTGTTATCAATTGACTGTTATTGGGTTAGGGGAGGGGTAGGTGGGCAGTTGCCCAGATACTGATAATGATCCAAGGATTTAGTAGAGAGAATTAGTCAGTGGTTGTAAAACATAGAGCTTACCAAACTAGATTCCTTTTTTAAATTGATTTTATAAAACTTCAATTACAACAGTAGCCTTATCTCTGTAACAGAATTTTAAAACCTTCATTACATGTTTGAAAAATGAAGTAGAAACCTGAAGGTATTTTTTAATAATCTTGGTCAAGTGTTGTTGATGACTATGATAGTTTTGGATTATTTATGACTATTTACCTTTTTCTATTTGTAGCTGCATCTTGGGTCATATCTCCATTGCTGTCAGGACTTTCAAGTTCTATCATCTTTGTTCTTATTCGACATTTCATACTTTCCAAGGTAAGAAACCAAGGTTTGATCGAATGAAAAACTGTACCTAGTGTGTTTTTGTTCTTGTGCAAGGAGCGCTTATTGAATAATAGTATAACTACAAATTAGGCAGTTTTCATATTTAATAAACTTCATATTTCTGTGGTTGGGAGAAGTAAGCTTTTTATTAAACTTTTACACCTCCACAGTTTCTAACTGCCAAGCAGAAACAGAATTTATTGCTTCGTGTATAGTCTTTATCTTTAAAGCAAAATATGTGGAATGTAATGGGATGCTACTTGGGTTTGCGTTTTTTTATTTTATTACATTTAACTGAAAAGGTCTTAGTTTTTTATTAGTGAATCTGAAGCATTTTGAATACACCAGGTAATAGTACAGTCCCCTGACTTATTTTTTTGTTGCTTTGTTTTGCTTTATTTTGTTTGTTTGCCAAATTTTATTAGCCAAGTCTTATAAAAATTAATGTTAGTATTGGTTGACAGAGAGAGCTTACATAGCATTGTGGCAAATATTGAGTGCTTTTCTAATTGACTCAGTGTTATTTGTATACTGCTTGATTTATTTTCAATTGAAAGAGTTGCACTATTGATTAGTATTTGTAGTTTGTAGTTTGATACAGATTTTGGTAATGAATGTACATTCCCTGAATCCTTTATTAATTTGAAATTTTGATGTACAGTTATTGTAACTTTTTTTCCAGATTAACGCATTTGATATTGGTCTGAAGTCACTGCCTTTATTTTATGCCATAACAATAGCCATTAATTTCTTCTCAGTGTTCTACAAGGGATCTCATGGTAAGAAGAGTTTCTGTAGAAAACATTGAGATAACACGATTTTTGATATAAAGTACTTTTTAATGATGTAGATAAAATCTGTCGGGTTTTTGATAATTATATAATTTTTCTTTAAGAGGTACTTTCATTATTTGGTCAAATTATTTTACATCATTTCCCAGTTTAATTAAGTTTTCTTCAATTTGTTCTTCTCCATGACTAGAAAATGTTTCTTAAACCAGTAAAATAGGGGGCACTCTCTAGCTGATAAACCTTTATTTTCATCACTTGTTTCATGAAGAATGTGCTGAAATCATGAGGAGAAATTACATGCCAATGAATAAGAACAATATAAATTAATTATTAACTTATTCTAATTGGCAAAGAAGTTGAGAGTAAGTCCTTCAAATTAAAACACTGTCAATGATAGAACTCATATTGAGTAATGACATGATTAATTGGAGGTTCTATTCAATTGTTTTCAGTATTGGGCTTTGATCGCATTCCACTGTATGGTGTGTTAATTCTGTCAGTTGGAGGTGGTATTCTCTCAGCAATTATTGTACTCTTTGTTGTGTCTCCATACTTGAAGAAGAAAATTCTGAGGGAAGTATATGGTGATGAAAGAGAAACAACTTTATCTGCTGGTTCACCAGCTGCTGCCCATTTCTCCAAATCAACTTTGATTAAAAGTATTGAGCCAGAAGTTTTTACTGATGAGCAAGGTTCAAGAAGTAAGTTTTTACTCAAGACGCAACTTTACTTCAATGTCAAATTTGTATTCAATCTTAAATAGTTTATCATATTTTTACTTGCTGAATAGAGGGTATTTTAAAAAACTGTGACCAATTAAGTAACACTGATGGTGCAGTTTCCTTTACCGAGGGAAGAGTTTGCATGGCTTCATGGAAAATAAGAACAAATGTGCAATTCAATACAGAAGAAATTTTTATGAAGCTATAAACAAATTCCCACAACATCTGCAAAAATACCTTTGAATCCCACCTTATAAAGAAGGAGTGATAGAATGAGTTAATTATTAATACCAAAGGAATCCCTCCAACATGACTGAAATCTAAGAGATAAGTGTTCAGATTTATACTTGCTATGCTATTGCAGTGACTCAAACAAACGTTTGGTAATGTGCTGTGTTAAGTACATGATACCTAAGTTAAGAAGAGTGTTCTTAAAAGACAAAGTCATTTTAAAAATCGCATATCTTTTGTAACCACCAATTTATAGTTTACACTAAGCTGAGTTGGCCACCATTTTTTCAGCTTCCAAAGTTGCTCCAATCCTGGAGAAAATCCAGTTCAAAGTAGCCAATGTGCACCACCATTTTCAATAGCTAGTTAGTATATAGTGGTGATGTCAGACTTTCCAACATATTATTACCCCCTGCACATTTCCAGTGTTTACCTTTTGATTGTGGTCATGGCATCTCATAAACCACATTGTTTTAAGCCAAAACAAGCTCAAAATCTGGACGAAAACAGTGACGGAGATGGTGAAATGAAGAATCTACTTGGAACTACAGATAGGTGCTCTTGTGGCTTATGCCAAGTGCTACCAATGCCAAAAGAGTGCAATCACTGTCAAAAACAAGCAGACTGGAAAACAAGACGGAGAATACAAATGCTTATATGAATGATTGTTGGCTATAATGAGTGAATACTTTCAATGGAATGTGGTGTCATTTTGCTTGACTTAAGTGTTGGAAATTGCACTTGTAAGAGATTAGCTTTAACAAACTATATTTGTATTTATCTCTGTGTATTTTGTGTCTATAATTTTTCACTGCTGGGCAAAATGCAGGGGTTTCATGTATCTTAGAGAAGGAGGAATTCCCAGCCGTGTGCTCAAATCGAGCATTGTTACCAACTGCGATGATGGGCCTGTACAACTATAGTAGATCACCTATGCCTTCACCATTGCAGAATTGATAAGAGCAGTGCAGATAAGATTCTATTTGCATTTACTCCAGGATACATCATGTGCTATACTTGCTCATTAGTGACATGATTTTACTCAAATTACATCAAGACTATGAAGTCTGCCATCAGTCTTTTGTTCTAATGAAAATGTACACTGTAATTGTTCTGTTCCTCTTACATTTTTGGTTATATGTTGTTGTTGTTGTTGTCCTTTTTTCTTCAAGTATAAAATTTAAATTCAAAATTTCTTTTATCTGTGTCATCATTAGATACAAAATATTACCAATTTTATTTTCAGTCCTTATGACTATGCAGCTTATCAAGAGTAGCTCTGTCTGATTCAAAGAAAGTTTGAAAGAGAAGAAATTATTCCATCCTGTGTCATTACAACTATTCCAAAAGAGTTTGTGGAAGCTGATGGGAATTCTACTGGTTTTAACCTTTTGACCCCTTAAAGAGACCCGCATCTCTCCTTACAATATTGTCCCAAAATCAAATGTTAGGGTCACACGAGTAAAGGAAATGATCACCAACTAAAGAAGCTCTTGATTGTTAAACAAATTCTTCTTGTCAGCTTTTTTGGATGTATGTGGAGATAAGTATGGAGAATGTGCATACTTATGTCATGGTGTTAATGGTTAGGGTTGCAACAATGGGTGCAATATATTTGGTAGTTATCCAGTACATAAATTAGCTAGTTGTGTTATTTAATTGTCATGTGGGTAAGTAAAAAATATAGAAGATGTAGCCTTTGGATGTTAAACTAATTTAAGAATTGTGTATCAAAGTCTTGTAAAAAAAAGAACGAAAGCACCTTATTTGATAAACAAGTATGGCTAGTGGTGACCTAATTGCATATGCTCTATCACGATTAAATCACTACAAACTAACTTATTGATGTTATGCCAAAATATAAACCATGGAAGAAAGGTGGGACATGCAGTTGCAATATCATATGATTGTTTCCTGGTGACAATGCTATACCACAAGAACTTAGAATCATTCAAACCATGAAGCTGGGAGAGAAGGAAAAAAATTCATTAACTGATTTTGAGTCCATTATACAACAGCATTTTGATTTTCCTTTAGGGTTAGAAAGTCCTGTAAGGAAGTAATAGCTAAAATGAAAATAAATATGTATCGTTGTACTGTGTTGGTATTACAACATTTCTTAATGACTGGTGGTGATACTCGGTTGTTGAAACCTGGACATATGCTGGGAAATTGTGTCTCCTTTGTTCCCTTTAGAAATCAGGGCGGAGTTTTGTGGTATTGCTGATGCTTGAATTTTTCCTCGTTTCATTAGCTCTTCAATGAACTGATAAATTCATAAATGGCGTTAGCAACCCACTTTTTATGGTGCTTAGGGAAAACAGATGTAAAATGGGCTTCTCTACTATCAGTGGCAGCAGTCTCTCTTCCTGCATTCCTTTTGTTGTCAGCACTGGTTGATTTCAACACAGGCCGGGAATTTCATATCTGAATTACAAGAAACCCTGCGTTTTGCCAAGCAGCAAAATAAACATAGAGACAAAACAAACTGAGATAAATACAAATCTAGTTGATTTAAGCAAATTTCTTACATTTGTAATTTTTAACACTCAAGCAAAGAGACACCACTTTCCATTAAAAGTATTCACTCATTATAGCCAACTATCATTTGTGTAAGTATTGGTATTCTCCATCTTGTTTTCCAGTCTGCTTGTTTTTGACAGCAAATACACAATATTAAGCCACAAGAAAAACTATCTGTAGTTTCAAGCAGATTACTCATTTCACCATCTCTGTTGCTGTTTTCGACCTGATTTTGAGCTCATTTTGGCTTGAAATGATACGGTTTATGAGCCATCATGACCACAATCAAAAGGTAAACACTGGAAACGCGCAGGGGGTAATTAAATGTTAGACAGTTTGACATCACCACTAAGCTAATTAGCTATTCAAAATGGCTATGTGTGTTGGCCACTTTGAAGTGGATTTTCACTAGGATCGAAACAACTTTGGAAACTGAAAAACTTGTTGCTAGCAAAAAATATGTGATCTTTAGAGTGACCTTGACTTTTAACATTCTTAGTTTCAACCTTGGTCATTATGTAACTTGGCAATTCTTAACTCAAGGAAACAGCTGGGAACAAACTTGAGCTTAATGGGCCACTGTTCCATCCATTTGAGAGCAGCAGCCTCATTTGTTGCCTTGTATTTCTAAACATGCCAAAAGGCCAGACTCAGATAAGGCTACAAGTGATACAAAAAGGGGTTTGTCATTCTTGACTTAGAAGTTTTTATTAGATATCATACTCATGGCTGGTAAGCTGGCACAACTTACAGAGTTAAAATAATTCTGGGAATTGCTTTTCAAAGGCTCTATCAGTATTAATTTCTTGTCCTTTTTTTTTTTTTTTTTTTAACTCTTTCCTTTCTTTTTTTCCAAAAAGAATTCCCAGAAGAAAGCAGCCAATGTGAAGATGATACAGTGACATTAACTCTGCCTTCTGAGTGTTCAGTTTCCACACAAGCACAAGACACGCCTAACAATGAACAAGCCCCAGATACACCTAGTGATGAACAAAACTTAAGTTGCTCACCCTCCAGTGAGATGCAATGTGATACTAAGGAACTGATTCAAGAGAATGGTGGTCTTAATGAGGCACATAAGGAACGAGCAAGATCACGGGGAATGTCTCTCCTGATGGAGGCACGGATGCAAGTAACAGATGAACCCAAAACTGGACGGCTTTTTGCTTTTTTGCAGATATTGACTGCTTCATTTGGAGCCTTTGCACATGGTGGAAATGATGTGAGGTACCTGGTTTTTTTTTTTTAACTTTTACTTGATAGGCAGGTACTCATGGATAATCAGTCACAGATTTTCTATGGGACCTGAGGGAGCATTCTTTTATTATAAAAAGATGCTGGGTTAAATGTGATAGTTTACAGCTGATGAACTTCAGCAGTTACTTTAGAAGACTTCAATTTAATTAGGGGTGATCTGGATTGTGTGTGAATTGTGATACTCAGTCCTTTTTTTTTTTAATGTCTTCTTTTTTTTAAGTCTTGGCAAGGTCCATATCCTTTGAAAGCTATAAAAACAAGTACCGTATTTACTTGTGTATAAGTCAATCTCTAAGGACCAAAAACTCAGCCCAAAAAATCACCCTTGACTTATACACAAGTCATACACAAAGACCTGACCCAAGCAATCCAAGAAATTAGCACAACAATTGCGTGAAGTCTGTTTGGAAAACCGAGTCTATAAAACCAGTTTGAATTGCGTTTGAGTTTCATCACTTTTCAGCTCATTCTTCGTCCACAAAAAGTTTGAAATAATAAATTTTGAGTGGCTTAACACAAAGCTACTGGAGCTGATTTATATTGTGTCTTTGGACTGTAGAACAGACATTTTTTCTTACAGGTTTGCTGTTGTTTATAGTGCTGAAATTTCAATTTCATAGAATGATCACAGTAGCTTAGTAACTTGGCAAATGCCGTTGTCTTGCACAGTTTTGCTTGTTACGCGCGATCCTTCGAAGCTATTTGGTGTTCCTTCAGTTTACTTAATCTCCTTTCAAACTCAATATTAAGATAAAGGTTTGTTAATGCAAGAAAATTTCATTTTCAATGTGATTTACAAAATATAGTAAAATAATTCTCCAATAAATTGAAGTGCTTGTGTGTTCTTAAATCGTGGTGATATAAACAAGTGCTGATAAACCTCAAAGCACTTGGTTACATTTTGCTCTGCAGTTTTTTAATTCCCAGTGTTTTCAATACATTCCCAGAAATAAGAAATTAACTTCTGCGAAATTTCTATCTGTCTAAATTTTACCTTTTTGACTAGAAATGGTGAAAAACCTGATTTTTTAACTTAAAAAAAGGGGGTCAACTTATACATGAGTTCGACTTATACACAAGTAAATACCGTAACTCAATTAAGACAGGCTCACATTTCATCAATGTCTCTTCAAGACCCAAATGCGATCCCTTAGGTTAGAACTGATTGTGTATATGTCTGGCAACTTATTGTTGCTGTTTTATCTTGAATTGCAGCAATGCTATTGGTCCATTGATCTCATTGTGGGTTATTTACTGGTCAGGCATGATTCAAGAGAAAGTTCAGATTCCAATCTGGATTCTTGTTTTTGGAGGTGTTGGAATATGCATTGGGCTCTTTGTTTGGGGACGACGTGTTATCAAGACAGTTGGAGAGGATCTAACTCCAATAACACCATCAAGGTATGCAGGAAGACAAGGTACTCCGTTACACGTGCAACTTAAGAATAGACAGAGACAATCAGCCATTTAGTTTTATATGAGCAAGACTTTTGAAACTTTCCAGAATCAACATTTTGTTGTCCTTCAATTTGGTGTCAGGGTAAAAAAAATTACTTATTTTGTCTGAGGAAAGGTAAGAAAATTCTGAAAGCACGCCAAACTGTCCATGCAAATTTTACAGAGTGGTCCCCCCAGGGAGTGGTGCTTGAATGAAGAAGGAGGAAACTCAGACATGATGACAGCTTCCAACTTTCACAGTACCTAGTCAGTACTGAGCAGCTGTCAGTTGTATCATGGGAGGATTGCTAAGTTTATCTAGTAAAGTTTTAAGGATACAGTAGACCCTCACAGGTGTTCTTTGCAAAAAATAAACCATGAACTATATATCCATGGTAAGATTCTGACATTCACTACTTGGCAAAAATTCTTTTCACTTAAGCTTGATCTAATTGTAAACCAAATGGTACACAAAAATTCAGAATACACAATTTTTCTTTGAGTGATTAATGACATATTAAATCTGACTGCACAAACAAAACTTCTGCACAATTTCAATCCTGAGGAGCTTATGGTCCTCAAAACTGTGTGGAGATTTATTGATATTGTTATTGGTTACTTTGTAATTTATCTGTCAAGTTTGCTGATCAAAATTTTACAGATACATATTACATCAGAAGCCACCAGGGGAGATCCATTTTGAAAAATGGAATTCCCTCTCATGGTTTGTTTGGTTGGTGTCATGGGAGTATCTAGATAAAATTTCAAGGCAATCTGTATAGTTTACATACCCTATTAATTTGTTCAAAGAAGGCACTTCCACATAAAAACAAAGTAAGTTTCTTAGGTTTCTAAAGTTTTCCCAACAATTCAGGTCTTTGGGTGACCACGTGTCAAGTTATGTCAACACTCTGAAAAACTTGAAATGCTTATAGCTGATCGAAACATAGAAGTGTCCTGCAGAGTCTCAGGAGACTCAGCAAAAAACATATTTTGCACTAGGTAACTGTCCATCAGTTACAAATGTCCCCATGACAGACCTGCTAAACAGCAATTTTGATGTCAACTTTTTTTTTCAACCTAAAGCCAGCTTAAGCATGCCACGGCAAAACTTAATGGTTGCTAATCAAGTGCGAGCAGTGAAGATTGCTTAAACCGGGGGCCTTTATTTGATTTGGTGAGATTCTTTCACTACTATGTGTGGAGTTTCTTTACTTCTTGTGCTGAGTCATTCAGGCTTCTTATTTTACTTTCATCTATGGACTCTTCTCCTTTTTATCTTTTTCTATTCACATTCTAGTTTTAAATGCAGGCAGATAGCAAAGATCTGTATGTGAAATCGAAATCAGGAGACATTTACATGATTGAAATTCAAGTACCAGGATGTTTTGCCACAACAAACCCTTTAGAGTCATTAATGTTTACATGTTGTATTTGGCTATTCACACTGGCAGGTGAAAGAATTCCATTCAAAAATGTTTTAGTAAATAACTCACACATGTGTCAAGATTTTACCTAATTTTTTGTTGGAAACTATGGTTAAAATGATAATGCTTAGTTTGACATGAAAAAGAAAAAAAAGAAAAAAAAGTCAGCCCTCAAGGGTCTGCTGTATCCTTAAGTTCTTTCCCCTGCTTTTATCCATGTGCATTATTTTTGACACTCATACATACTGTACTGAATGAGAGTGATCAAGTTGTTAACTCAGATTTGTGGGTTTTTTTTTAGTTGTTCATTCAATGTGTGATCCTATAATAGCAGTAATTTATATTATTTGTAATTTCCAGCGGTTTTGTGATTGAAATTGGCTCAGCGCTAACTGTTCTGTGTGCATCTAATCTTGGCATTCCAATCAGTACCACACACTGTAAAGTGGGCTCTGTTGTTATGGTTGGCAGAGTGAGGTCCAAGGAAGTTGTTGATTGGTCATTATTCAGGAATGTTATACTGGCCTGGGTTATTACTATGCCTTTTGCAGGTTAGTTAAAGGGTTGTTTTTACAGTATGACTGCTTGAATTGAGACACTTTGAGGAAAGTTATCCATTCACAGGTAAAGTTAAGACTCTGAAAATTGCCCTCACTTTATTCAAATTGTCATACTTTGTGTATGCTCTCATAGAAAAGTTGTATTTTGCATACTTTGTGGAATTTTAAGCTGAGATGAAACAGATGTTGTGGGTGGTTCACTTTGTTTGAATTGAAAATCTTTTTGTTTTTGTTTTTTTTCTTTTAGGTTTGATATCTGCTGGTCTATTTGCGGCACTGAGAGAAGCTTTGTGATAGAAGAAAGGACTTCTTTGACGTTCTGTTTGATTTTTTTATGTAAACATTCAGTCTTAACACCAATTTCTTTCTTACTTAGTTCTGAGAGTTTGGTAATAGAATACACGTGCAAAAAAATAAAGACCAGCATGAGTATGAATCTAGTATCAATCTATGAATTTTAACAAGGGTTAAGAAGTTACACTGTGTTGGTAATTTATAGGCTGTTCTGAATGAAGGCCAGAGAAGGAGAGGGACTCTCAAGTGATCATTGCATTATGGTCGTATAGGACATATGCAGCATGTTACCCAGACCCTCCCTTCATTTTGACACAAATTTTTGATTAAATATCTGAAATACAACAGTCAGCAAATCAGTTCTTGTGTGCTCATTGACAGAAAGGAGAGAATCCCTCAGGGTTTAACTGCATGTGGAATTTCATTTTTATTGTGTTAATTGTACTTTGAAGACAACTATAAAAGATATTGATTAGTCATTAAAAGGTAGATTAAAATTTAAACTTCTCCATCATATATCTTCACTCTGCTTATCTTTCATTTTACATTGCAAGTATTGTTAGTGCTGGGAATAACCTGTAAATAATGAATAGGATTTAATTGGAAACTGGAACAGCTAGCTTCCATCAAATCTTATAGTGTTCTTCAGTTCCTCTTGATTATATCTTACATCCATCACGTGATTACGGGTATTTTAAATTAAACACGCTATAATTTCACCAATGGGAACCAAAAAAATTCAGCGAAATAGGCAATATTGCATACCTTTGTTTTGTAGCTAATTAAAACATATTACCGAGCTCAAAACTTGCCATCTCTCTTATTATTATCTACAAACATTACGCTTTCAACATTACTGAGCCTAGCAGTATGCAGGACGCGTGTCATGAACTTTGTATAGACCTCGCTCACCGTGGAGTGTATGTGGCTCGCAGAATCTGAAGGTCTGAGGTTCGATTCTTCATTCTTCATTCTTCATTCTTCTCGTGACAAAACGAAAAAACATCTTTCTCAAAAAACCATTTGTGATAAGATTGATAATGTTAATAATTCATCGCAAAGACTTGTTTGTGCGTGATTGCATTCAGTGGATCATGGGACTGGGTATGCCTTCATCAAAAGTGGAGAAAGTCTACTGATTTTAAGTTCTTTCAAGCGCAGTGAGATGGAAGTGCTCCCTTGAGAGTTGATTCTCTTGGTGAGGCGTTTTGCTGTTCTTGTTGAAAAAGAGAAGAACTTATCTTTTCAGTTGGGCATTCTGGAAAATCGACATTCCTTTCTAGCGGTAGGCTGTTCCTATCTGTTTTGCTCCGCGTGTTACGGAAAATATTTTAAGAGGAGGAATTAGAAGAAGCCTGCATTATGTCCCTGGGCGTGACCTTTTCCTCGCGCTTTGCGGAAATGGCAATGTCCGATCATTTTGCAGCGTGGAATGGAGGCTATTGTCGATGTTTAGTTGTTCAAGGACTCTTAGACAATCGTAGGAAATGCAAAAGGAAGACTAAAAGCTTTTCCTTACTTTCACTCGTATCGAGGCTGTTAGGCGGAAGTGGGTACTCGCTAAAATAAAATGTGTCTAGCAGTGTAACAAGGCAGAAAACTTTATTTATTACGATTGGATGGCGATTTCTTGAAATATTTTACGAACACAATGATTTGTTCTTTTCTCGTAGGGATATTACGAAGCAAAACAGGTAAATGCAGGGTTTTCAACTGTTTTGTAAAGTAGCGGACATACTTCTGAAAGCACCGGACGTGAATGTTTTCTTGGCGCCGTAAGGCGCCTTGCGAGCGCCGTAGTAAAAAAAAATCGCCAATATTGATCTCAAAGTACCGGACGTGGAATGGCAAACGACCGGACGAAACGTCCGGCCTCCGGCCTCAAATGAAAACCCTGTAAATGTCAGTGGTGACTTCTTGTAAATGAACACCTGAAGAGTACTTGTTTCGTGGGAGAGTGCGAAATCTTTTTCATCGCTTAACATTCTCTTGTGTTAGCTCACCTATACGCAAGATTGTATAAAGGCGTTTCAGTCGCTCTTCCAATTTGATACTTGCTAATTAGGTAGGAAGTATAAATAATTCAGTACAAGATATAGAAAGTGAAGTAGATTCAGAGTTCGAAAGCTGTCTAGGAGAGACCCGAAACTCCAACAGTTGCTTACTTCAATCTTGTTATTATTAACTTCTGAATCAGTTATTTTCACTTTCAATTCGGTCACTAGTCACACTCAAACGAGCTTAATTTTAATAACTTTAAAACACAATAGTAGTCTGAGAAAATATAGCACGAAGTATGAATCGCGTCTACACGCAGCCAAATGGGTGAAGTAGAATCAAATTTGAAGGACACCGAGATGTTGGAACCGACCGAGAATGTTCTACGTGTTATAATTACAGACATTGCTATTGTGTATACTGGTTCTAACTGTGAACTGTTTCAAGTACAGAAGTGTAAATGGTGTGCCAAGAATTGTTATGATACAGCAACTGAGCACGATAAAGAAAATTACTACGGTGCGCAAGTTGACACGGCGAGTGTTAAACACAGAAAGAGATGTTCGCTGGCCATTGATTCTCCAATGCCAGTTGTTCAAAAGCGAGGCTGCCTGAATTCTACTAAGTATGTTTTACTCAGAGCTGAACTGAAAGGTCTACAAGACAGAGGAGAATTTGAGAAACATGAGGAATTGATACAACTTCAATTGTTGAAAATGTCGGCCGGGGATGTTGACAAGGAAGCAAGTCTCCGAATTGAGCGCGCTATGGCGTTATATTTTCAAAACAATGTAAAAGATGCTAAGAAAATATTGAAAATGATCCTTAAGCAAAAACAATACCTGAAAAACCCCGGTATTCTGACTGGAAGAGCCTTAACCCTACTCACGGCGATTTACAAACATCAGGGAAAATATGGGAATGCGATGGAGTGCGTACAAAAGGCCGACACAGCTCTTGAATATCAAGACTCCCGTGACGATAAAGCTGAACTTTATCACAGCTATGGAGCCTTGCTCAACTCTTTACCAACTACAAACCTTGCTCAGGATACCAAAGCTACCAAGGAAGAAGCCTACAAATCCTATGATATGGCGTGCCAATATACATCAAATGAAGGATTTAAGGAGTATGTACACGTTAAAATGGCTGCTATGCTTTTAGTGTCCTGTTCTAAAGCAGTGGACAGCAACACCTCCCTCTATAAAGAGGATGTTGAGAGGGCAAAACTACACCTGGACTTCACTGAATTCGGAGCAGCGGCAGACAACATGGCACTAGGGACAAAAATTAAACATCTGCTATTCAGGTCTGATCAGCACTTCTTTGAGGAGAATGTTGCTATGGCTTTTGAGAAAGCTCATGAAGCAATGGTGCTCATCCAAAGAAATGGGTTCGAACTGGAACGCATTTCGGCTGAAAAGCGGTTGAATCACTTGTCCGAGATACTAAAGCAACAAAATGAGGAATGGCGAGGTAAAGAACCACACCTGGACGATGATTATCTTGGTGACAGCGAGAGGTCCGAGAGTGAGAATGCTCAGTTTGACTAAAGGTTTTCAGCTTAGAAATTATGGCGGTTACCTTCATGTAATAATGAAAGTAATGATAATAATAAATAATAACAACGTGAGCGACCGTCCTATTTTATTTTTGTTGTTTGTTTTTTGTCTTTTTTTTGTTTTAAACAAGATGTTAGGATTAGAAATTTCAAAGACTCTGAGATTTCATCAGGTTATCAGCAATTCGTAGCATAACTTGAACTGTAGAATGCCACTTTCTATGACAAAATTGAAACTGTTAGAGGAAATTGCGCTTCTTTAAGTAATTGACTAGTTTAGAGCTGAAAGTGTTTATATCGGATCATTATTAAGTGGAGGATCGAAGTCCTAAACTCCTCTACCAACTGGTTTTACTTGGGAATTTTGTAAAATATCTGGAAATATATCTTCTTGCCTTGATTGTTTGAAAATTGTCGTCTTTGATTCATTTAAGTGTTTAAGTTCGATCTCCCTGCTGTCTGCAGATTCACTACTCAGTTTTCCCAGAAGTCGCATCGTAATGGTTCAGAAGTACGGCGAAGCATGTAAATACATCAAAATGTTTACCTGCCAGTTTTCTCTACGCTCAGAAAATAAATGTTAAGCTGATTACAAATATTTTATCATTGTGTTTTTGTAAGCTTCCTGTCTCACTAAATCCCTTTTTTGCACAGCGTATCTAACTTTATTTCCCACGATCGCATAGCATTGTTAGTGCTGGGAGTAAACTGTAAATAATGAACAGGATTCAATTGGAAACTGAAACAACTAGCTTTCATCAAATCTTATTGTGTTCTTCAGTTCCTCTTGATTGTATCTTACATCCGTTACGTGATTACGGATGTTTTAAATTAAACACGCAATGATTTCGCCAATGGGAACCAAAAAACTTCAGCAAAATAAATATTGCATACCTTTGTTTTGTAGCTAATTAAAACATACGAGAAAACAAAAAGACATTTGTAATAAGATTGATACCGGTAATAATTCATCGCAAAGTCTTATTTGTACGTGATTGCATTCAGTGGATCATGTGACTGAATATGCCTTCATTAAGAGTGGAGAAAGTCTACTGATTTTAAGTTATTTCATGCGCGTAAGGAGACGGAAGTGCTCCCTTGATAGTTGATTCTCTTGGCGAGGGTGTTCTGCTTGTTGTTGTACAAAAAGAGAAAAACTTGTGTTTTCAGAGAGGCACTCGTTGTGTTCCTGGACATGACCTTTTCCTCGCGCTTTTCGGAACTGTCAATAATCGATCATATTGTAACCTGGAATGGAGGCTATTGTCAATGTTTAGTTGTTCAAGGACTCTTAGACAATCGTATGAAATGCAAAATGAAGACCAAAAGTTTTTCCTTACTTTGACTCGCATCGAGGCTGTTGGGCGGAAGTGAGTACTCGCTAAAATAAAATGTGTCTAGCAGTGTACCAAGGACGATAATTTAATTTATCATTACGACTGACCGGCGATTTATTGAAATATTTTACGAACACGATGATCAGTTCTTAGTGAGGAGCCTTAATTTTCTCGTAGGGGAAATTTGCGATTTCTATTTTGCAAACATTAGCATATTTCCATTTCGTTGCGTTTCGTTTCGTTTATTTCCTTTAGCAAACTACAGTAGGCCGTTTACAACCAAATGGGTGCAGCGGGAGCAAATTTGAAGGACACGGCTGAAATGTTGGAACAAACCAAGAATGTTCTACGCGTCGAGGTTACAGACTTTGCTATGGTGCAGGTGAACTGTTTCAAGTACAGAAGTGTACATGGTGTGCCGAGAATTATTGTTATGATACAGCGACTAAGTGCGATAAAGAAAATTAATACAGGGCGGAAGTTGACACAGCGAGTGTTAAACACAGAAGGAGATGTTCGCTGGCCATTGATTCTCCAATGCCAGTTGTTCAAAAGCGAGGCTGCCTGAATTCTACTGAGTATGTTTTACTCAGAGCTGAACTGAGGGGTTCGCGAAATAGAGGAGAATTTGAACCACATTTGGGCGATGATTATCTTGATGACAGCGAGAGGTCTGAGAGTGAGAATGTTCAGTTTGACTAAAGGTTTTCAGTTAAGGAATTATGGCGGTTAGCCTCAATTAATTATGATAGCAATGATAATAATAAATAATAACAACATGAGCGACCGTCCAATTTTTTTGTTGTAAGTAGGATGTTTGGATTAGCAATTTCAAAGACTCTAAGATCTTATAAGGTTATCAGCAATTCATAGCATGACTAGAACTGTAGAATGCCACTTTCTATGGTAAAATTGAAATTGTTAGAGGAAATTGCGCTTCTTTAAGTAATTGACTAGTTCCTCACATACTTGCTTTTAGTGCTGAAAGTGTTGAAATTGGACCATTATTAAGAGGAGGATCAAAGTCCTAAACTCCTCTACCAACTGGCTTGATTTGAGAAATTTGGAAAATATCTGGAAATATATATTATTGCCGTGATTGTTTGAAAATTGTCGTCTTTGATTCATTTCTTGTTTAACTGCATGTGTGATATACCTCAAAGAAATGCCAACTTTCGATCTCCCTGCTGTCTACAGATTTACTACTCAGTTTTAACAGAAGTCGCATCGCAATGGTTTAGAAATACGGCGAAGCATATAACTACACCAAAATGTTGCTGTACGCTGGCAGAACTAATTGACACGTTGGTATAAATTTACCTGCCAGTTTTCTCTACGCTCAGAAAATAAATGTTAAGCTGATTACAAATATTTTGTCATTGTGTTTTCGTAAGCTTCCTGTCTCACTAAATTCGTTTTTCGCACAACGTATCTAACTTTATTTCCCAATGGAGCGGGGGGAAGGTGCCCTTGCAAATCTGTGACGCACAAATCTTCCTATGATTAGAGGTTACCGTAAATCCTCGTCCAAATACGTATGAAACTGAAAAGTACTGAGAGAATAAGAGAATAAGACTAAACGTTACATGAATGAGAATTTTTCTATTGTCTCTGATTCAGCTATTTACAAGTTTTGGAATTTCTTATGAACTCTTGAGAACGCAATTGAAAACTTCTGTTTCCAATTTTTGGAGAAGGCATCTCAATTTCTAACAGCATCACTTAAAAGTTATTTACAAATAAATCTGTATCACGCAGTTTCTCCTATGATGATTATAGCGTTTGAAACAACGAAGTAGTTCACTTTTTAATAGAGAAATCTGGTTTGACGTTACGTTCTTGTGATTCCACAGAATTCCCTTTTACTCAAAAAGACGCTCTTAGAGTTATTTAAAATTTCCTCCTTGTAATCCAGTCCTATGTGATCGGCGATTCAGGCCTTTGATCAACGTTAGCATGTAACAGTACAAATAAGATGGCACTGAATTGACTGACGCTGTTGGTCTATGTAGAACTGCCGGGTCCTAACTGGAGTAAGATCCAGACAGTTAGAAATTTTCACTGAATTTCCATTTTTAGGTTTCTTCAAACTTGTCGAGAGTATCAGATGCTTGCTTGGAAATGTCAGTCGATTTCAAAAGTTATGTTGGTTTCCAGTTGAAGAAATATACGAGCTTGGGCGTATTATAAAATCGCTTCGTTCTCAACTCTCACAAAGTTTGGCTCAGGTTTTTGCCATGCGGACTGTTTCCACGGAAACGGTAATAAGCCGAGTATTTTTGTTCGCGAAAGTCAGAAAGTTGAAAATAAACAGGTTTGATTTGAGTGCCACATAATAAAATACTTATCAACCTCGATTGCTCGAGCCGTATTGGATAACATTGGCCCTGTTTCGTTTGTGTACGGACCTTGCTGGGCACTGTCCGTACTGCCACAACCTCGGGCCAATATTCCCTATTACAGCCCTCACGTTCAATTAGTAAGAAGTTCGTACTAACTGAATCTGAGCAGAAAACTTCACGTAGATCTGAAGAGAGGGTTTTGGATGTTTGATTCGTTTTTTTTTTTTTTTTTCCAGTGTCAAGCGATTCAAAATTTTAGTTGAGCTTAGACAATTTTCCAAGCTTCCGCATATTATACCTAAACCACTTCAACACTTTCGCTTAACATTTCTATTCAAACATTCGATTCTCTTAGTTTGAAAAAACCGTTAATGGGTTAGTTTAAGCACAAATTCAACAAAAAGCACTGATTAATTTTAAACTTGAAAGAGTACCGCAGGAAAAAGTATCACATAAAGACTCGGGGAGGCCAGAATATACGAAACAGGTCACATGATTGCGACTTTTTCAGTAAGACACTCAATCTACGACGTTAAATAGAAGAGTTCCTCTGGCGTTCAGGATGATCTGACGAGCCATGAACGAGCAGTTGAGTGAGGAAACACCTTTCTTTCGTTTTCTGTCTGTGTTGTGATCATTCGAAGAACGTGATCTTTCCATTTTCCTCCCGGACACTACGCAAGCAGGTCGCGATATCTCTTAGCACTGTTGCCTGAACGTGTTTTCTCGCCTCTACCCCCAAAAGTACAGCTTTCTGAAACTTCACGAAACCGTGAGTCTCTGTTATAATTCCACTTCTGAACGACTCCGTGACAAATAAAATGTGATCAAGTAGCTTTAAGTGTCTTCTTTTTTCTCTGTATACGGTGGGGGTGGAAGGGATTCGTCAACCTCTTGGTAAGCCGGTAGATAAGGAAACTTAATAGTCTGGTACGCAGGGGGAGGGGGTCGTTCATCGTATCGAGCAATTCTTGATTCTCTCTCCACTCCTCTCCGGCTTGAGTAACCTCTTGGTCTGTGATGTCTGTGTGAGTGACGCGAGTGGCGATGAGGCGTAGAAGTAGACTGACTTGATGACCTCGATATCTAAAAATTAAAACCAATCGGATGGAAAAATCTTTAAGTTCTAAAAGTTATCTGCGGTTTAGTGAGAGAAATGTGCAGTAAAACCGAAATTCCGCTTAAAGTAGTGTTGGAAGGGTGACTGGTCGCCAACAACCTTTGCGAGTTTTCTCCCTTAGACGGAACGAGTCTCCCCCTTCCATTTAACAGTTTTCCCCCAAAACATTCAACTGTTTTCTTCATGGCAGAACAACTTCCTTTTCTGCCAAAATCGTGACTTTCTTCTAACAACGTAAATTGTTTATTTAATCTGAAATTGCATGTTGTTCAACAGGAAAAGAATACTTTCTGAGGTAAGGAAACGAATCAAAAGATTTTGGGAAGGGTGAATTTGTTTTAAATTAGGTGGCATACTAGCGATTGTGGTACAAGGGCAAACTTGAAATGGTGCGAAAAAACCATAAATCGATAGAAGAGTGGACTGACTTTTGTTGCCTCAAGAAGGATTCTTATACCACGAACAAGCATGGTGCGCCAGACCTACAAGGGTGAAACTCACAACATTTTTCCTATTTAGTAAACAAATAAATTTCCTATAATCAATGCAGATTATTATCAGCAATGAAGTAGCAACCCAGAAGGTTTCATAACTTCAACTTACTCTTCTTTGTTGCCTAATTTCTTCCAGGGTGTTTTCTGATGCAACTGAAGTTGATGTGATCATACAAACTGATGTTGAAAGTTCAACAGGCTCAGCTGTGTGCTGAAGAAAGAAAAAATACAAAAATAATCCCAAAAGTCAAAACTGACTCTAAGATAAAGGTTCCACTTGAGGGAATTAAAAGGTGTTTCAAGACCTGTGTTCTTTTCTTTTTTTTTATTTAACCCTTTAACTCCCAAGATCTGATTGTTGATTCTCCCCTCTAACTGTTACACATTTCCTTATAAATTAGTCACAGGAATTTGGTGTTAGATCAAGAAAACAGCTTCTACTTGATGAGTTTTAGTATTCTCATTACATGATCACTGAATAATGTAAGGGATATTATAGCAATAATTTACAAGTTAATCCCTTCTTGGAGTTTAAGGATTAAAATGCCTCTATATGAAGAGATGACAATCATCTATTTTTTGGAAAGAAAAAGGATTTAGTGGTGTGATATTGATTCTGTAGTGCTCACAAAAACTCATATTAATATCAGGCCAAATTTTATTGAAAAAGATACTTGACCTTGTTATGGGGTTTTACTTCAACAGTTTGAGCCCTGAGCTATGAAGTATTCATGCATTAGCCTCTACAGAAGTAAACCTAAAATAAGGGTTACACTCACAGAAAAACAATCACTCTACCTGTAGTGGGTGAGGATTGATAAAGCAGTTGTGTTGAAAAAATGATGATTTAAATGCTACAAAGGCTCCTTTCATGCTCACAACAAATATGATTGCCACAACTCCAAGGAATGAACCAAAAAATAAGTTCCATGATACTTCTTTCTTCCCTGACACAATCAGTGGCAAAATGATCCAGAACATCAAGATACTTGTTATAATGGTCAAAACACAAAACATCAGAAAGAAGTGAATCTGCAAAGACATAACATACAGAAAATTTTCAATCACCCTACAAATTAAGTGCACTGATTGTACAATCATATTTAATAAAGAAAAGCCTCCATTTGGCTTCAAATTTTTCTGAGAGAAAAGCTTAAGGACAGAAATGTTTATGAACAGCTCATTGTTCCATAGCTCACTGTTCAAAAGGGATATTGATATTAAGAAAATTTGAAAAGCTTTGGTGAGGTACTGTCCCATTTTGTTTTCTTTCTTTCAGAGAGAAGAGGAAAATATCTTGACAATGGTGATGAAGGTTGATCACTGCCTTGATACGTTTTTCATTAACAACGAAGTGTGCTACTGCTCATCAAGGCTGGTTATAAATATTCTCCCTTATTGTTTTTGGCTTAACACAGCTGCATTTTATCTCCTTTGCTTTCTTGAATGAGGGCATTCACTCAACTGTCTAAAAGTTAACTTACAGTTGATTTTTTGGCATGTTTGTAACTAAGACATCCCACTCCTCCTGTGACAATAAACTGTAAAAGAAACCAAAAATACTTCTATCATTCTGTTTAAAATAACCTCATTTTTCCATGTTTTCACCCAAAATAATAGTCTTCCAGAACTGACCATCAGAGAGGCAAGGGGAGTATTCTTTACTTGATAAGTCTCACCTGGCCTAGGGCATCTAAATGGCAAAGTCTGCTACTTGAGCTTACTGGTGGTTTATGCTTTTGTTTCAGTTTCTAGAAGGAGTCACTGGAAACATTTTGACTTCTGTTCCCAACACACTTAGAACTCTCCCTGTACTTACACAGATTAGAAGTATTGTTAAAAATGATAAATAATGCCTCTTTGTGCTATAATTGACCACTTCATGTACAGAATCTCACTCAAAAATACTACTTACTTTGATTTTAAGAGAAAAACACAGATTAAAAATAACTAAAAAGATTATTTTTATTTTAGTTGAGTGACACCAGTGACCGTTTAATAAATGCAGGTGGAGAACAATAAAAACAGGCTGTTAAGTAAAGGGTGACCATGACCAGCTAATAGAGGTGACCACTTATTAGAGGTGAAAATTACAGTGATTAAGGGAAGAAAAATTCAGGACTTTGACTACGGACTGCTTAATACAGGGTGACCACTTAATACTGCGTCACTTAATACAGGTTCGACTGTAGCTTTAAAGTACCAAAGTACCAATTCTTTAATGGCATGATACTATGGCACTTGTTTCCCTATTTCTATTTTAAAATGGTATAAAAAAAATTGGTCCCACATAATTTTAGATTTTTGAAAATAAAAGGTCTCCAACATAACACCAAGATGTCTTAGAAACACCCTAAATGTTAGGTTAATGAGCTGATACTCAAAAGGAAGTATGGTGATCCATTGTAATTATTCAAATTGTGATCAGAAAATCAACATTTTTCATTCCACAAAGTTAAATTAATCTGATTGACCATAGCTTGAATTTCTTTTGGTAATAGGTACATACAAAAATTCACTTTGAGTCATGTACCAAAATGGCTACAGTGTAGCTAGCCACTACACTTGAACTTATCTGACATTTGAGAAGAGGAAATTTAACTATTATTTGACCTGAATAAAGATATAAATTGATCAAAAAAGTTAACTCTCCCTCTAAGATTTAATAAATCCAAGCATAATCATCACCATGTCGATAGTAAAGCTACCACATAACAAACTATTATGAGTTTAGAATGACTCTTTGCTGTCGTTGAAAATCCTGTTAATAAGTGTAAATTTTGAAATTTTATTAATTCTTTGAAACTGGAAAAAATAGAAGATTGACACAAGTTAGTAATTCAGCCGCTTTTTTTTATAAAAATGCTACGTGATTTTGAAATAATTTTAAATCTCTACATAATATTTAAATTCAAATAATCGTCTCCACTTGCTATTAACACAACTTAAACTCATGTCTGTTTTTCTGATCATGGGTACCATGTAAACAGGGCAACCTAATTCCCACAACTTCTTTGAAAATAAGAAAATATGCGTAACTGCTAACTAAATTTTGTTATTCAAACTAACAACTGAAAGAGTAGATATGGCGTAGCAAGATTAAGTAATTGTAAAAAGACTTCTCTTAATGTCGCCAAAAATAAACAATACAACATGCGAGATTATTTTTAAAGGGATCAGAGAAGGATTACGATGCCGATACCGCAAATCTGATAGGGTCAATTGGAATGTCGTTTGTTTATCATTGTGGAATCATTTTGAAAATTCCAACCCAACACAGAACAACACACAGAACGAATTTGGCACAATTAATTTTCATACCCACCAATATTCCAGACCACACTGGAAGTCCTTCGGGTTTAAACTTAAAAAATGCTCGATGATCCTCTTCTCTAGTATTAAATGCGCCAATACCAACACCTACAAGGCCGCCTAATATTTGTACTATTCCTACATGAAGGGCTGTCTTGACAGAATAAAAATTCTCCGCCATTGTTTTAATTCTGCTCTTCCTGTCAACAGAAGCTGAACGGCCTGGCTACTAATGTAGATAAGGAGCGGTAGCTAAGGAGGACAGCAGCGAATCAACATGGCGTAAGTTTTGCGCCGAACATGGGCCAGTTTGTGGTTTTTGTCGTTTTGATCGGTGTTTTCTTCGCAGGACTGTCTTTCAAGTCACTGTGTTTCTATTTCATTGTCACTGGCGTAAGCTTTGGCTTGACATACTTATTTGTCGCAAATAAATGGGAGCTGGATGGTCTATTCGAGGAGCTATTCAAGATTCTCGAGCTGTTCGGTTTCGGAGCACCTCATAGTCTCGAAAACAGAATTCCTTACTCGTCTGCTTTCACAGATGATAATTTTTACCACCTGGATGAGATTCCCAAGCCTTTGGAGGAATGTTTCAAAACGCTTATCGAGAACATTATTCGTGATTTTATACGTTCATGGTACAAAGATGTCGGAGAAGGGGAAGACTTCATCTCAGAAACAAGGGAATCTCTAGAGATGTTGTGCATGGAGGGGTACAGACGTGCGTCGCAGATTGATTCTCACTACTTGGTTGAACAAGCCTTGGTGGTTTTTCATGAACATCTACAAAGGTTTAATAAAGCAACGGCAGTTGTGAAGGCAAAAGACCCAAAACTGAGGCTTAACATTAGTTCCTCACAACTTCTCTGTCAAACCTATGAATCTCAATTAACTTCCACACCACCATCGCTTTTGAGTCCATCAGCAGAACTCAGTTACTTAAGGAATGTTATTGATTCACTATTAGTCGCAATGAGTCCAAAAGAAACCTATAGTTGTGACACAGGAAGATTCATTTTAAGAGAAATTTTAACTGTGCAAGTGATGCTACCTTTAGTTAGACTTATGACAGACCCAGACTGGATAAGTCAGGCAGTGATTGATATTTTGTCAGATGACAATGATGTGCAGGTTAAGGAAGTTAGTAAATCAAGTGTGAAGGGGAGTCATCCTGTTGTGGAAAGTTGTGATGAACCCAGAAATGCTGTAAAGTCACAGTTTACTAAAAAGATACATACAGCCCCAGTGACAGAGAGCATCCCACCAGATCATGATCAGGAGAAGTCAAAGGAAGAAGGAATGAAAAATTTCCCTAGGAAAGAAAGTAAGGAATCTATCGACGACCCGGGAGAGAGGATTGAAATTACATTTCCAGGAAGTGAAGAAAACCCAGATTTCAAGTGGTCAGTAAGTTCTCAAAGGCAGCCTCCAGTTGGAGAGAGTCAGCATGATAATTCAGAGTCCTTTTTGGTTATTTCAGTGGAAGAGAACAAAGAGGAGTTAAGTAGGAGGGAAGAGCAAAGTCCAAATGAAGGAAACTGGTCAACAGAGGTTGCTCCACCTTCTTCAGTAGAAAACCTGACATCCTTTAGTTTATCATCGTCATGGGGAATTTGTCCATCATCCCGAGACAGATCTTTTAACACAGGTAGTTTTGAAGACATGAAAGCAAATCTCTCAAAAGTTGAAAGTAATGATGTTGGGGGAAGGCTGGGAGGACTTGGAAGCAACTTAAAACAACTAACTTGCTGTCACAAATTTGAAGAAAGTGTTAATCAGGCTGCGAACCACCATAAGTCAAAACAAAAGGGAAGTAATGTGGAGGATGAGCCATCTCCAAGGGTCAGAACTAGAAGCCTGTCTCTTCCAGGATGTGATGAACTCTTTGAAAATAGACCTAATGGTGAACTCATAAGATCTGTCAGTGTACCCAGCAGGTTGGAAATTGCAGATTTCAATGATTTTGAAGAATTTTTCACTCCAACCAGTCCAAGAAGATTTAACAACCCTCAGTTGTATGGCAGAAGCTTTTGTAGCAGCTCAGACAGCTTTAAGTCAATGTCAAGTGAAGAAGAACTTTTAGATGGATATATTGAGAGGGGAGAAGAAGCATTTGAGCATTGTGAAGATGTTAGGTACAGTATGGGCTCTCACTGGGGAGGTGCAAGACAGAGAATAACTAAACAAGCTTCCTTTGAGGAGTCCCACGAGAAACAATCATCCAATTCTTCTCCAGGAGCTTTGACTAGTTCTAAAGACATATTGTTACCAACCAACTATGAAAGATTAAGAAGCACCAAAAGAGCACTGCAAAGTCAAAAGGAGATATCAGAGTTAGCAGACATCAAGGAATCCTCTTTAGAAGATGCAGGAAAAGATCACTCAGGCAGTGGTGCTGTCCCTCAACAGAAGCCTCTACATTTTGGATTTGGAGCAAACAATACAGAATCCTCCTTTGGTGATGTTTTTCTAACTGCAGGAAAGAAACTTGTCAACATCATGAAGTTTGATAGCCTGAGCAGCAGTAGTGCAAAGTCAACAGAAACAAGTTCCCTTTCAGGAAGCGAATCCCTAGATTATACTTCAGGGAATCAAAGCAAAGTTGCAACAAAGAAAGAGTCATTAGGTGATGGAAGAACAACATACAGTTCATTTAGTGGAAGACGGTTATCAAGAAGTGACGCTGTGATCCAAGAATCTGTGGATAGTGGAGGAGAGGCATATTTTGGAACACCTAGGGAGGATCATGTACAAGAGATTAAGGATATGAAAAGGAAGGGAGAAACAGTAGATGGAAGTGATGTGGGAGTGGTGAAGAGAATGCATCCTAGTCAATTGATTACCATTCCCAGCACAATTGTAGCTCTTGAAACAACATGGGAACCAGGGAGAAACAAGTACACATTGTACAAAATAGAGGTACATATTGTACTATAGTATTTGAATGTTGTTTACTAATAAAGCCTAACCTTTAGGTGGAAACTGAAGCTAAGTGTTAAGGTTTGGATTCAGACCAAATCTAACGTTAGTGCTCATCTGATAACTGATAACACAGATTTTACCAGTGTGCAACTTCTTATCTTGAAAACAAGAGTTAAATTGTACATTTCAATTGTTAAACTACGTAGGTTTACTGTTATAATAATACACATGAAAAGTGCTGATTGGCTAGAAAAGAGTGAAGTTATCTTGTAACATTAGTGCCAATTTGTCTTGAGAAAGGACCATGATGAACATTTTTAACAACAGCCAAGTTTCCTTTATTGTTGGCCACTAAAAGCATGGTCCTGGTTGTTTGAAGGTTGGATAATGCTAACCACTGGATAAATCTCTATCCAGGTGATAATGCAATATGTTTTGCAACTGCGTTTCTGTAGGGTTGTAAGTTATCCATTGGATAGCATTATTCACTCTTTATATTACTGGGCTCTGGACCTGATGTTTCGAAACAGCAGGCTGGCTGTTCTTTTCAAGGGCAATGTAACATTCTTATTATTTTTGGGTACTTTTCTAGGTTTTTAAATATATTATTTAATTAGCAATTGTAAGTCAGTAACTAAGTCGAACTAATGATTACCTATGCTAGTTGGTCTTAATTGTTTTTGTTGTAACATTTGTTAGTAAGAAGTTGAAAAAGGCTCTTACTTGGTGTAGAAGACACAGTCGACATAAAACAATAGGGAGTATAAAGTCAAAAGAATGAGGAAAACAGTAAAAACTACAGATTAATGAGGCAGTGTTCTATTGTGATTTGTTCTGTGTGTTCTGCATCAAGAAGGAGACTTTGAAGCTGCCGTGAACTAGGTTTTCATAGGGTATATTTAAGTCATGCATGCTTGTTGCATTTGTAGTACTTTTTTCACAAACATTGTTGTCACAAATTCATTTTGTGTTTGTTGCTGGTTACTTTGGACAGTATGACATTAGGATTTGGAATGATGTGTATAAAGCAGCAATTAAGGAAGCTAACAATGCAGCAAAGAAAGAAAGAACAAAGAGAAAGCTCTATGCTGGTACAGATAATCCACCAGAGGATGTGGAAATTTCAATGGATATGATCAAGAGAAGTGTCCCCCTGAAGCGTGTGATAAACCGACGCTACAGAGAGTTTATGGAGCTTCATAATCGTTTAACTGGTGGAAAGCTGTCAGGTTACATGAAAGGTGATTTAAAATTAGAATTTGTAAATCGAGGCCTATGTTATGGAAATATTATTTTCAACGTAAACATAGATTCAATTAACCCCTCTACATCCTATTGTCAGTATACATATTCTTCATACTATTCTCTAGAAACTTACCTAGGGTGTTGACAAAGCAAAGTTGCTTAACAATGAAGAGCCTCTCTAGAGCCTCAAAGAACAAATTTTCGCTCAAAATTTCCGTTATCAAACATTTTTAAACTTCTTTATATTTCCTATCAACATCTGTTTTGAAAAATACAATTAAAAAGATAGGTCACAGTGCTTATTTATGAGATGAGATGGTCTAAACTTACACTATTTATACATGTACTTGCACAAATCACGCATGACATTTCATAGATTCACAGCACATTTTGCAGCAGCTGGAAGCAAGGGTTTTTGGGCTAACACAAGAGAGAGGTAGAAAGTCTTGGCCATAATGGAACAATTTCATATATAATTTGTTGAAAAATCACGAAATTTAAACAATATCAACTCAAGATGTTCCTATTGTGATTGCTCTCAAAGCCATAATTTTCATTTGCAGGTAGTGGGCTGTGTGCTGGCTTTTAGCTATATCTCTCCCTTCAATGAATTTTTTTCATTTCTTCAAATAGAAAGGAATGATTTGTACACCAAAATTATGCAATAAAATATATGGGTCACTGTGCATACCTCTAAACTGGCCTATTGATTGAAAAACAATACAGTGATCTCAGAATATGCACACTTATTCTCCTGAATACATGAATTTTTAATGCAGTGCAGGATGCGCAATGCAATACTGAGGAATCACTTTAAGGAAATCTACCACAGGTAAAAAATATTGGAGCAGTCTTGACAGAACAATCACTCAATCGTCACCAACATTTTGATGTCTTGTGTAGGGCTCGAAGAACATATCATTTTAAAAAATGCATGCTTAGAACTGGTTGCCAGGGATTTCAAGAGCTATAGCTTAAACTATTTTAAAAAACATTCTCAAGGGGAAATTTTCAAACATTTCTTTGGACATTTTTAAAACTGTGCCCTTAAATATTAAAGCAGTGTCAAATTACAGTCTGTTCTGTTCAGAGGTAAAAGATATTCTGAAGAAGTGTCACAGTGACATTTCATTTTGTGATTTGTCTTTTGTTTTCAATTGATAAATCTTATGATATAACTGTTTTGTTTATGATGCAGATATTCTGAAACCCAATAGGAAATACAATCTGCCATTTGGAAGACTTGACCCTCATGTGGTAGAGGGAAGACGGGAACTCCTGCAACATTATTTATGGGTGAGTTTATCAAAATCATACACTTGGCAGCACCTCCCTTTTGTAGAACACAACCTTAAATATACATTAAATGAAATATTTTATGATTTATTGGTCTCCAAATTGTCAGCATTAATTAGCCAAGACTTGGTCAATGGTTCTTTCAAATGTTTTTTTTACAGAAGACATACAGCTAGGCTTTGATAGAGTTACATGTGATCAGTGTGGTGAAAAAATCTTCTTACCACATTTGCTTTTAGAGCCTAATTTTCAAACCAGCTTTACGCAGTAGTGAAGACCTGAAGCAGTTTCTTGGTGTGACTGGAGGAGAACAGATATCTTTCATTAAACCCAGTGTAGCACAGATTGTGAGCCAGTCAGTTCATGTTCCACGCGTTGACAAGGTATGTCTTTTATGACTGACTTCAGTGACTGTAGTGTATGAGCTTGATATTGTTTTTAAAAAATCATAAGATGAGAAACATTTCAATAATGACTGTTGAGAAATGCTGGACAAGGTTTGTGTGTACCCTGTAAGGTAACAAGTCTTTGAGATTAGTTCAGAGAACAAATAGATCTGTTTCATCTTGTGATTTTACATCTTTATCACTTTTTATCAGCCAGCTGCTAAGTGACACCTCATTATGCTGGCCATGTGGAAAGTTTCTTTACGTATAAGTGCTATAACAATTTTTTTCATTTGATTGTACCAGATGCTGAGTCGGCAAGTGACCAAAGTTATTGACAGTATCAAGACTGCTTTTGATTCAGGTAGCTGTCTATTTAGAATGTTTCTTAACCCTTCAACTCCCAAGATCTGATTGATAATTCTCCCCTCTAGCTGCTATCCTTGTAAACCAGTTATGAGAATTTAGTGTTAGATCAAGATAACTACCTAATAAGTTGGATTTTTCTCATTACCTGTTTGTAGGATAATGTATGGATATTATAGGGAGAAGTTCCATGTTAATCACTTCTGGGAGTTAAAGGGTTAAGTGAGTATTTCCTCTCATACCTGATGTAAAGTGGCAATAATTTTAATTCTACTTCCCTTTCAGTTGAAGAGGAAGAGAAAGTATCTGAGGAATGTGCCACTACTACTACTACAAGTGAAGATGTAGTAATTCCATGGAAACTAACCTGTTATCACGATGGTGCTTCTGGAAAATCAGTAAGAACAGATAAAGAAAAAGGAGAAGCTTTGGTTTTGAAAATTTTATGGATGTTCAGTGTTTTCTGTTTGGTTTATTTTGACACATTGACCATCATAAACAAAATGACATATTGAATTATAAATACATTGAATATCATGGTTGCCTTTTTTTTCAAAGGAAATAAGATCATGTTGCTGAAAGGAGACAGCAAATGCAGGGTTTTTGTTCATGAATATTCATCTGCTATCTTTGATTTGAAAAGAGAAGAGGATTGTACAATATTTTAGGAAATTCTCTGTACAGGCTTTTAGTGCCCAAGTCATATAGGCTCTGGTGATGGCCAAAATCATAGGTAGAGGTAAAATAGATGAAACTATTGGTCCCATTTATAAAGTCTACACTCTACCTGTGCTCATGGCAACAGATTCTAATATGAGCAGCCTTTCTTGCTATAAATGAAATCTGGTTTTGTGACATGTGCATGTGATTTTTGTAATATTAAGTATTTTAATGTTGAGCCATTATTTTCAGGGAATTGGTTTTGATCAAGAGAGTAATTCAAAAGAGTCTTACTACTTGGCATTTCTTGCCTACCACGAAGAGTTCACTCCACCCACTCCACCTTCACCAATTCAGTCCCACTCAGAAGAAAAATACAAAAATAGTGATGAACAAGATGGATTTCACCTCTGGAAGGAAAAGTTGGACAAGAATGTGGCAGATTCTGACTCAGAGGAAGAAGCTTCCTTGTGGGATGCACGTCAGTCATTAGGACCTCGCACAGCTGGTGATGGAAGTGACAATCCTGATGACCCTATTCCTGCTCCAGCAGGCCAAGTATTATCCTTCCAAAGAGTACGCTCAGGAGCCATCTTCAAGAAGTATTTACCCAACAATTCACTAGCACCTGAGTCTTTGGCTGCAAATCAACCTGCTCCAAGGAGCAAGTCTATGGAGGAGATTGCCTCTGTGCCATCTACTAGCAAGTTTCAGTTCAAACCACAAAAGATTTTGGAAGTTGCCAAACGAATTGGGCAGGGAAACAGGAGTGAATCTCTAGAGAACCTTGATACACTGTCCACTTCTAAGAAACCAGGTACCTTCAAGAAATCTCTGAAAGAAAATTCAGTACCCATTCTTGGTGCAAATCCTAAGAAGAGAAAATTTGCTTCCTCCACGGAGTTGCTACTTCATCCAGAGGAACCTTGCATAGTCTCTAAAATGGATCAGCCAAGTAACCCTGAGAGTGGGTCTCATATGGATAGGAGCTCAGCTGGGTCAGATCTTCAGTGTCCTCTTTCAGAAACCATTCTTGCTCTGCTGTGTGAGCTTCTTAAAGAACGTAGATCTTGGTTGACAATTGACAGAGTTCAGCAAGCCTTCATGGCCATTTTTGGAGGGCTGTTTGAATGGTATGGCATGGGTTATATGTAGGTCCCAAAAACCTTGTATCAACAAGAAATTTATGAGCATTAATTTGAAAAAAACTTCACTTAAAATACTATCAACTGATGGTAAATTATGCAAACAAGTTGAGATTAACCCTTCCCCCTATGTTATTACTAGAAACAAGTAGCTTTTCATTGTCAAAGCAGGGTGTTCAAATGTTAGATATTGAATTCATAATTACACTTAAATGCCCCTGTTCTAAAGAATTTTTTTGAAAGTTTTATTTTTGTTTTGAGAGTAACTTTCAGTGTTTTCTTGTGTTGAATTGAAGGCAGATTCAAAGTGGAGTAGATGACATCACAACTGATGACAGCTGGGCGCTGTATCTCAACAAGCTGATTGAAGCATTATGGCCTGGTGGAAAGTTACGTCAAGAGCTTGAAACACCAAAAAGTGAGCTGGAAAAGTCAAGAACAAGAAAGGAAGCAGCGCATGCCTTGATGAATGCATTCCCAGGTTATATGATATTGCTTAATTATAAGTAACAGATTTGAAAGTATAAGTCCAATGGGGAATATTTTGAGTTTAATAGACAAAATGTAAAGAAAAAGTCCATAGGAACAATTGGCTAAGAGAATTTGAACTCAACAGTTAAAGTCTATAGAGATTTGAGACCTCCATGACTGCAAGCAAAATATTTGTTATTAACAATTACACAATATTTACAGGGGTATGTCACACTGTGAGTTTGTGCTCTGGGTTCCTTCAGTTTGCCAATCATAGGTGTCAAAAGCAAAAGCAGAGCATATTGGCCAGACTTTCATGTTTTCTTAACTATAATTTACTCTGTAAGGTTTGACAAAGAAAGACTCTCTGATAACACAACAGTTGTGTTATCAGAGAGTCTTTCTTTTTACTGATGCTGATGAGGACTTCTTTTTGAAAGGAAATACTAGTCATTAAGACTATATTTTGTCTCCACTACACAACAAATAACATAGTAGTGTAAAACCAAGTACATGTAAGGTTATTTAGATGAGCCTGCCGAGAACCAACCTGAGACATATTGCCCAAGGCATACATGCATGAATACATTTGCAACTGATATACCATATACAATCCTGATATGCAATCAATTCCTTACATGCTAAAAAATAGGTATACATCACTAGCATGTTAACTTTACCAAGTCAGGATAAGCAGAGATGGGCAACCGCTTCCAATAACATTACTATGGTTATACGAAGGCTAAAAAAAACCTGCCAGAAAAAACCCCTTTGGGGAAAAAATATGACAGGAAATCTGAGTAGGAACCATGGCCCAAACTCAAAGCAGTTAGCAGCCCATCCTACAAAGCTTCACAGTTATACAAAATAATTTTCCAAACAAAAGTAAATTTGGTATCAGCCAAAGGTGCAAGGTTGGTTCTGAAGCCAAGATGGACATCATGAGCTATACTTCCCCTTATATACCACTGCATCATTATCCATGATGCTTGGGCCTGAGGCCCAGGTCTTGTTGTATCTCATGCCAACAGAATATTTATTTTGGCTGCCTTATTTGCAGACTTAATCGTCAGAAATATCATTTTCATTCTATTTTCCAGGTTTTATCATGTTGTTGATTGGTCCTCGAGTTTACCATCAGACTGCTGTGAACATCATTGACTCTATGCAATATCCCCAAATCAACAAGTAAGTTATATGCTAACTTACATTTTTACAATGATTGTGTACACGGTTGTATTAAGTCATCTACAGATTGGTCATTCAAGCAAATCCCAGACTTAGCATGGAAGACAGTAAGGAGAATTACCAATGCAATCTTTGGGTGAAAGGGTTAAACAGCCTCACTGAAATATATTTGTGCTTTCATTGGTTACTTTTAGTCATGAAAATGTTATAAACAAAATTAATAATTCTTGCAGGGAACCCAAGTATAGTTGATGCAAATGGTATTTAAAGTTCTAATAAGTCACTTCATGTTAAAAATTTTTCTCCTGACAGAATCTTGGTTTACACTATGTTGGAGTTGCTTTTTTCAGAATTTGTGCCAGAAATTCAAGACAGCCTACAGTTCTATAGACGTGTGACAAGAGAAAAGTAACTTGTTATGTAACACGTATAATAATTTAGCTTATAGGAGATAAGTGAATGTTGCTTTTTATGCATGCTGATTAGCTTGTTCAGAAGTGAGTAGCAAGTACTATTCTCTGCCAAGCAGCTGATGAGACAAAAATTGAACATCAAGAGGTTAATTTTAGACCATTATTATAACTATTTGTTTGGCATTTGTGTGGTGTATAGTAAAATGATTATGCACCTCAATGTCAGTGAAAGTGGTGGATAATTACCTTGCTGCTTCCCAGCTCCCTAATATCCACCACAAGTCACTTCAGTAAATAATTGTTAAATATGACAAACAAATAGTTAAGAACAGTTTGCAGCATATTGAGACAATCATTTGGTTGCGTGATGCTACTTATCTGATGATTCAATGTCATATTAGGTTTTTTATTGACTAAATTTTATTTTCTTGGAAATGTGAAGTGTTACAGAGACTTTACTCAACTTGTTCAGTGCAGTAATAGAGAGAAAGAACAAAAACATGTCAGATGAACTGCTTACCTAATTATCCACATTTTGCAATGCCTGTGCTGTTGTAACTCTTTGATAGTCACCTTCATATGTGGCTATGTGTTGCATTTGGTGCTGGGCATTTTGTATATTGTTAGTCTGTGTGCATGAGGTACTTGCACATCATAGCCAGCATATCAGTTGATTGTCTCTTCCCAGTCTACTTACTAGGTATTATAGTGTAGCCTACAGTTTAGTTAGTAATTACCTAAGAGAAACTTTAAATTGGAAGTGAATGGTGTGGTTAATTAAATGGAAAAAGGTTATTTATTAAATTTTTACACAGATTTTGATTTTTGTTCTTACTGCATATGTTAAATTTCAGGTCAATTGTCAGAAGTAAGAAATAAATTATATCCTATTTAATGTACAATCAAAGATATTACATAAGACTAGTATAGCATATTTATGATTTGTCAAATTTAATTATTATGTTCCTTTCAAGTGGGGCAGAAGAAGGTGTTGACCATATTGAGAAATATCAAAAAACAGAATTTGAGAATCTAAGTACTGATTTTTTATACTATCACACAAAGTTGAATTACATCACATTGCATTACTTATTGTTTAAAATCACCAATGTTTTACTTGAAGTTAAAAAATGCAGTAGAGTGGAATAAATGAAGACATGGCATTAATATAGATCACATGCCTAAGGTTGATGTATTTAACTCTATCAGGTCATCTCTCTATCCACAAATATAATCATCATTCACCTTATAATGGCATCGTGATAACACTGAAAGGTTAAGTTTTAAGTGAAACTTTTATTTTGTTATTTTTATTGCTTAAATTTTTAATGGCTGTTGTATAAAATGACAAAAGGCTGCTCCTGGGCGATACTTTAATTTGTATGGTTTTGATGTATATTTGAAAATTCTCATTAAGCTATCTGCTTTTAAAGGCCTATTTACACGGTACAACTTTGTCGCATGCGACAAGCTTACGACAGGCCTACGACACGAATTGTATCGTGTAAATCAAACCTACCACTCGCTCACGACTGTCGTGCACGTCACGAAAAATGTCGTAGGATTTTAAAACATGTTTTAAAACGCTGCGACAGTCGTAGCCGAAATTGATAGAAAATGACGTATTTTGTGACAAATTTCTACTGAGTAGGGGAGGGGGGTGAAATTTTCTTGCGTCAAAATGGCGGAGGAAGTCGCCTCCGGAAAGTCGAAGACTGCTTCCAAAGCGAGAAATACATTCTCAGATGAGGAAACAGAGAATATGATATCACTGTGGAGCGAGGAAGAGGTTCTTTTCCTTCTCTTGCAAATTATTGAAACAATAACCGCGGCCGAAACGAGTGGAATTGCACGCGATTTTGGCATGTCGTAGGTGAAAATGTCGTGCGCGTGTAAATTGTCCTAAGTCATGTCGTAGGCCTGTCGTAAGCTTGTCGCATGCGACAAAGTCGTACCGTGTAAATAGGCCTTAATGGTGCTGATATTGTTATTTTAGGGGACTGTCACCCTCACTATGCTCATTATGTTTGGGTTTCCTCTTGAGAACAAAAAATAATTTAGTTCTAATTTTTTAATTACATTATTTCTTTTCAAATGGTCTCTAGTAAATGTTATCTTTTGGGACAGACTACATACCTGATTTTCAGTAGCTAAATGTATTTTCCTTAAACAGAGAAGCCTCAATTAAGGTCTATGTTTACAATTAGATATCACATTTAGTATCTAGCAAACTAAAGGTACCTTCAAAAAATGGGTTGTGATGTAAGATTAAGCTGTTGTATGTCAGATCTCCTACTTGTGGAATTTCCTTTAAACGGTCTTTTTTATAATTGTACAGTTATAAATTAGTGGACCAGCCTTTTTTGACAAGGAGGGGGATGAGGACTTAGTGCTACGGAAGTCACCCTGTAGGTTTTCATATTTCATTCTACTTTTTCATAGCCTTTTAAAACAGTCTGAAATGTTCCCTAGATGTACTGGATTTTGTTGTTTACCAATTTTCATTTGCAATGTATTTTGTCTCAAAATGAATAACAGTTCATTTCTGACTACCTCAGTGAAGGTGGGCCCATTAATTTGTTAGTGCCTTCTAATTTGTAGAACCTAATAGAAGAATTATTGTTTACAGTCATCATTATCCTGATCATCACTTTCATGGGTCCTTTTTCTGCTTAACTGCAACTTTAAAATACATCTATAACTACTCAGTTTGGTATCATAAGATGATTTTGGCCTTTGTCTTTTGCCTTGAAGAGTTAAGCAATTGTTGCAAGTATTTTGTTCTGAACTCTGACAAGTGGAGCAACATCTTACATCATCACAGTTTGACTCACTGTACTGTTCGATCTGAAGGAGTCACCTCATCTTTTTTATCACTTGGCAACAGTTACAATCAAAGACACAATCTATACCAAGAAAAATTCTGCCTGACCCATTTTTCTCTCCCCTTCAAATGCCATTTCATTTTGCTGGGTGTCCATAGTCCAATCCTGCCATCCCCTCTGTCAACTAAAAAAGATTGTTTGCAACACATCTATTGAGAGAAATTTATCCATTATATCAAGAATTTATTGAATGTATTTAAGAAAGGATATGAAAGTACTCAGGTTCTCAGCTACTGTTGTGTCTCAAGATCAGTCAATAAATATGAAAATTGATTCATGATTCAGAACTTTGCATGTGGTAATTTAACCAGGATGGGGATTTAAGTAAGAGTGACAGTGAAGAAATAATATGATTTGAGCAAAGTGATTCTGCCAAATTTACCACCACATAAGGATTTTCTGTTCTCCCTAAATGAAAAGCTGTGTTAGGTGTCCTGCCCAACAAGGTACCAGGTGTTTGGGGATCTTTAAAGGTAACTTTCTGGACTGGAAAGCTTGAACAGGTTGGGAATTTGATGTTACCTAGTACACATATTCAGCACTAATAATATACAAGAAAAACTTGCACACTTCTGAGTGGCTGAAAACGGGTGCAAATTACAAATAGTGTACATACTGTCAGATTTTGTCTGTCTTGACTTTCTGGGGTGCTATTTTCCAAGTAAATAATAAGTTTGTTCAAATTTCCCCCCCCCCTCCATGCTAAAGTTCCAAATGAGAGATTTAATCATCCTTTTTTCGTTGTCAATGCTAGTGGAATGCTAGTCCATTTGCCAGAGGCACTATAGGAGTAATGCCCAAGAACACAAGACACTGACGCCACCAGGTCTTGGACCAGAACCTCTCAACCCAGAGTCAAGTGCGCTGACCATTAGGCCAGTGTATAGTATATTCCCCTGCAACTGTGGTTCATAGTTGGGGACAAAGTATGGGACAAAGCCAGAGAAAAATACAGAACAAAATTATAGTATATGTACCAGTTTCTTTCATTAAGGGGCTGGGGGCCTGTTTCTCAAAGGTCCTGTTAACTTAATGGGCCCATAACACTGTTCTGTTTTCATTCATGATGGGAGTTGCAAAAGTTTTTAAAACCATGCAATTAAACTATCAGTAAAAGAAAAAATTTAGACTTGTTTGGGACCATCAGAACCTGCTTCTTAATTCTTTAAATTTTGGATTTTTGGGGGCCCATTGGGTGACCAAGACAAATTTATATAAAATATTTCTTTATTGTTATTTAATGGAAATAATAGCTTGATTGTATTTGTTTCACTGATTTTTATTGTTACTTTACATCATTCAGTGATCATGATTTCAATCCGATCTGGTGAATGAGAAGGAGCAAGAAAGTCCAATGTTGTGACAACCACCAGTATGTTGGCCACCATGTATGCCACAATATGGTCAATAGCACATAGAGTAAAATTGGTCATTTTGCATCCCTTATTATTACTTTCAATTCTATGTACTCTCTTCACAGTGAATTGATAGTAAGTTGCAGTAACAATTAACTTTCTGAGGTTCAATGCAGTCCTGTAAATGCTCAATACAGTATACAGTATATGCATGACAGTTACTTAACCAAAATCTTTTTAACCAACAGATACATTATTGTCTCTTGACAGCTGTGTTGATGCAGGAGGATTATGCAACTCTTGTGTTTTCTCTGCATGTTTATTAGTGACTACTATCCTGTATTTAGTACACATTTTCAACAGATGAGACAGAAGTCTTCTTGTTTGGTGTTTGATCACTCACTCCTTTCAGTTGTCATGTCACTGCTGAGAAACTGCTTTGTAAGCTCATACACACTGAACATGACTGCCACCTGTGGTATGACCCGCAAGTAGTTGATTGACAAGCCACGATACAAGCCTTTTCTCACACCATCTTCCAAGTAGACTGTTACAAAGGTGTTAATGCAACCACTACACACACAAAAAAAATCAGATTCTTTCAACAACTTCAGAACATGAAATGTTTTAACTTCAAATATTATTATCTAATATTAAACTTACAAGTTATAGAATAGTCTCCTTTAAAATGATTAAAGTATTTTTTTTGATAAATTAACCCCAAAGATATCATTTCAAAGCCATTATTTTCAATGATGTAAAACTGCCTAATGCATACTTCCTCACAATATAGTTGTCCATTACCTGTATTTGTAGCCATCAGACACTGCCCCTGCAAGCTGCATTCGCCGTCTAACAACATCTAGAGGATATCTGCAAACAACATATGGGGATTAATTCATGGCGAAAGTAAGAGAGAGAAGACAACCATGAAAACTGATGACAATTTCTACTAAGTTCATATAATCATAGAATAATTATAAATAATTACTTTAATGTAATGTTTTACTGTTAATTTGAAAAACTCATTAATAATTCATAAGCCCATTAACTTATCAAATGGTAGATAATACATCACATGCAGTGACTTTATATCGATAAACCTCATCCTTATTAGTATGCGGTGTTTTATCAGATATAAAGACACTGCACGTGACTTATGAATATTAATTAATTATCAACACAGAAACTGACACAACAAATGGTGGGAATATTTGTAATGTTCTTTCAACAAATTTCACACAGTAAATTTACTTTTGCACCAAATTAATAGTACAGTTGTGAAATACACATCTGGAAAAATTCTCTATGCCATTAGTACAGTAATCTGGTAAAGGCATATTAGACAATACATCATCTGAAACTTCGAATTCAAGATCAGTTGGCAGAAGTGACTCCAACTCATTTCCGCTAACCTCTGCGTTTGACCTTTTCATATGCTAATTTCTAACGTTCACAAAAGCATAATTGTTATGAACTCTCTTGACACACGCTTTTCCAAGAATGTTTTTGAAGCCGTTCAAAAAACTCGCAGCACATGTTTTATCGGGTCAAAAACCACGAGGCGTAGCCGAGTGGTTTTAAACCTGATAAAACACTCCTGCTCGTTTTTTAAACATTACTTAAATTGGTTTCTGTGTGTGCCATAACAATACTTAGTAACAAATAAATATGATTGTAAAAGAAAAATTTGGTTCAAACTTACGCCACTGTCTGTGAAGAGGCACCAGCCACTGCACCACACAACAGCCCCCCAATTGGTGTTAGAACTTCTTGACCCTCTCTGTTTTTCTTTGTCAAAGGGCCACTCATTGAAAGTATGAAGTCTTTGATACTCTCATAGGTGAAGAACCCAAATCCTGTAAATAGTTAAGAAAAAAACTTGTTTTAAACAAGTAAAGTTTACAGTTTTGAATTAAATTCAAAATGATGCATAATTTGTACCTGCTGAGTTAGTCAGAGCCTTTTTTGAATAAAGGGAACAGCACAAAGAATGCACCAAAAAGCCTTCAACTACATGTCAGAAAAGCAATCACAAATGATTTGCCAAGGGGTTGCTCACAGTTGAATCATAAGTTTGTGGAAAATCCTCGTTAACATGCACTTTAGATCTAACTTACAGAATTTCTGTCAGTGACAAATTTAGCAGTTTTCAGAGGATTACCAAAAACTTATGCTAAAGGTAGAGAAGGCCACATGCCCAAAAACTTTGTTTCTGTCTAATTCCACCTATTTTGATGTTATTATTTCTTTTCAATCATTGACCAATTGAGATAAATTACAAATCACAGTTCAGTTTGTAAGAACAGTCTGTGTTGGAAAACTGGACACTGTCATCATGTCCATTACTTTTGAAACTTTAATTCCCAAATAATTCAATGTAACACAACAAATTGGCAGTAGAAGCTATACAACAAGTTTCAGGTTTAAAAGAAATTTCCATGGCATCCACAGAAAGAGTAAGGCATTTTTTAAAGGAAATTTCTACTACAGTCAAACCTCCCTTGACAACCACCCCTTGTTAGTGACCACTCTTTCAAAATACCAAATTAAAGTTTCTCAGTCAACACACCATAAATGGAACCTCTAAGTTACTACCTCTCAAAATTTTTTACAATTTCAATTGTTTTTAACTTCCCATAGGTGACCACTTAACAGACAGTCTGCTCTATTGTACAAGAGCAGAAAGCAGAAATGTTTTCAACAGATGAGGTTGCTACCAGAAGTATTTAACAAAAAAATACAAAACAATCACCATAGATTCTAAATTTTTTCCTTGACAAAGTATTTAAAAGTTCTTACTAAAGGTTTGATTAGACCTGTCACTATGTTCAAATTACCCAGAATATGAACCACCTATAGCCTGACCTTAGGTAAGCCACCACCTTCCATAAGTGACCACCTAGTATTAACCTTGTGGATGGTCGCTTACAGGAGGTTTAAACTGACTGTAGTAATACTTCAAAAACAGAACAACACATTGGTTTGAAGTTTTTTGGGACCACCATCTTGACTTACCAACAGCTGGAATCATTGAAAGTGCTGTAGCAGCATAACCTCTATAAAGACCTGCAAATCCTCCCTCTGTAGTAATAATCTGGCGAATTACATGACATATTCCACAATAGATTTGCTCATCAGCCACTTGAAATGCCAGGCGTGAACGTACGACGTCCAAGGGATATGTCAGTGAACAAGCCGTAATTCCTGGTGAGAGGAGTAAAAATGAAATTAATAACTAATAATAAAACAATCTTCACCATCAATATGAATTTTATTCAACCTCAAATAGCATGATAAGTAATTGAAAGAAATTAGAAAATAACAAGTTCAGTAATGTTTGCCTTTTAGTTTTTTTCATTTCTGTGTCAAAATGATGAACCAGGGATACAAGAACACCTAGAATTAAGCTTGAATGTTTTTCAGGTTTAATTCTATACTGATTCAGGGCTGGGTTCATAGAAGTTAACATTCCAAGGTACCTATGAGTTTCCCCCAAATATTTCAACTTCTTTTTGATTATGCACATCTGAGACAGAAGTCCTTATTCAATGAAAAACTGTCTTGACTCAGAGTATAAAACTAATTTCTTGTACTCAACCGCCATGTTGCATCTAAAGAGATCTCATTCTCTCTTTATTTTGGAGGACATATATTGTTCCCCTGATTCTGTCCAACTTTTCTTAATTTTCCCATGATAAACGGGTTTTGCTTTTTCAAAATTTTTGAATTGAGCAATGTTACATATATTGTGTGGAATACATAGTGTATGATGTGCGCTGAGTCATGTGCATGACCATGAAGTTGAAAGTTAACAAGGTCAATTTTTTTAGTAGTCAGAGCATCAGTTGTGGTTATCCTCAGGGTTTTGAATTGTCTTTAAATGGACAATAAAAGACTTTGAGATGTTTTCTAAAGTTTGTGACAATTCTGTAACATTGAGAGAGGTCTTAGAGCCCTTAGCAACAATTTAGAATGCAGGGATTCTTGTCTGTGGTGAAATTGAAACAGACAAACTTATAAGCTGTTTCCACCAAAGCAAAATAGGTAAAAAACTTAGATAAATGAATAGGTTTGTTGGTTTTTTTCCCTCCATTATTTTGTGGTGGCTACAATAATAGTGTATTACCTTGCCATATTATTTGATAAAAAAGGGAAAAATTTAAGTTGACTCAAACTTAACTAGTGACTTGAAGTTGACTCATGATATGGTATAACATTACTCAATTTGTTAGCAGTACTGAAAACCCAGGGACCTACAGGAATGTGTAACTTTCTTAAGATTAAGTAATTAATAAACAAATTGCATAATATTTAAATACGTATGTTGTTGCTTATTCATACTTCATACCTGCAAAAGATCCAGAGAGCAGTTTACTTAAAGCACCATTAAAATACAAGGAGTTTAAGACCTGTAGGGAGAAATGGATAGTAGGCATTTCAAATTCATCACAAAGTATCCTATAGGCCAACACAGTGATTAACATGTAACTTCTCCATATAACATCCATACATTATCCAGAAGACAGGTAATAAGAATACTCAAGCTCATCTGCTAAAAGTTGTTATCTTGACCCAACACCAAATTTCTCGTAACTAATTTACAAGGAAATGTGTAGTGGCTGGAGGGGAGAATTAATGATCAGATCTTGGGAGTTTAAGGGTTAAATTAAGTGACTATGTACTGACCTTCTTATACTGCTCATATGATACAAACTGAATGGCACCATATGGAAAAACCCGCAACATAAGAGCACCATTCCCTGGTTGGAAAAAGATTCTAAATTGTGAATATTAACAGCATTGAATTTCTTTACCTCTCCTGAGGCAATTTAATTCCTACTAACAAAAATAAACACTGGTACCCTGTGACTGAGTCAAGTATGTAATAAATTTGAATATGTAACTTCATGGAGTTGATTGCATTGGTTAGTTTGTACATGAATCTAAATTTTTAACTCTGAGGGAGAAAGGAAAGTTAAAGAAGCAAACAAATGTAAGGTGGGTCTACGTTTTCATTTTCAATTTTTTTACAAATACCCAGGGATCCTAGGGAGATTTACAGGCCTAGTCTTCATCCAATTAAACTTTACAACCAGATTAAGAGTACCCAAGGACATAGAACTCTTATGTTGTAACTTACAAGCAAAGCAATTCTTTATAAAATAATAGCATACCTCTGTAATAACCCAAAGGTCCTTCTTTATGGTAAATGGTTTTTAGAGCCCTAAATACACCTGAAAAAAAAAGGTGAACATGAATTATCTTTCAGTACAATTTACTGCTCATAGGAATATATAAACCATTTTGGTTTCATTAAAAGTAAAAACACATTGGAGAACTCCACACACAATCACTGCACTAACTTCACCTCACATCCCATCTATTTCCATAATTATCTTGTAACTAATATTATGACTACATGAAGATCTAAAAAGTTCTGCAGATTTTAAAAAAGATTTCTCTTCATACATTTGTTAGAAAGCTAACTTACCCATGTTCTTGTAGTGTTGATTCTGAGCCTGGAAGAGAATTTTCAGTCTTTCCAATGGAGCTGTAGATGTCTTTGCACAACATGTTGACAATCCTATACATAAACACCACAAGAAGTTAACAAGACATATCTAAATGTATTTCTCTTGAGTTCTGACTGATTCCTCACAAATCATTGCTTTTGTAGCAATGATTAGCATAATTTATATGTAGGCCACCTATCCATAAATCTATCTGCTGTTCTCCCACATACAGATAAAATCTCCCCATCTCTGGCAAGGGATTAAAAACCTCTTGCCTTTTCCCCCACATAGCATTTTGGTTGGCAACATATCTTTCTCAGCATCTTCCTACACAATAAAGTGACTAAAATGGACACACACAAAAATCCACCATAAACAGAAACCTCCACTTTATTTATGAGGATAAATTGTGATGGATTTCCCTTCTACCACAGAGACATATCCAAAATAATGTTGTCATCAGTTAGCAAATGGCAAAGGAGGCCAGGAGAATTTCATTAGGTATCTGGAGACTCCCAGAATACTCATATCTGGTTCACAAATAAACCTGAATTATACAGTCACACACTTTGACTGGTTTTCACCAAGGATCTGTTGGAGGACAGACACTTAGATGATGTCACCATTAAGAACATATTGTTTGTTTATTATGTAAGACACATAGATTCTATGTTGCCATGGGTCTGCTCAGTTCAAGACATCAAAATGTGGTAAGAACATCAATAACACACTTTGCTGCACCTCTTGTGCCAACTTTTTAGTTTTCACCACAATTTTACATCATCTGTGTACTCTATTATAGAACAAATTCCTAACAGCATGGAATCTATTTATGATGACATAATCTATGAGTCTGTCCTCAAATAGATATAAGTGAGAACCAATAAAACTTATGAATAATTAACCTTATTATGTATTAATTGTTTATGGTTAATGGCATGTGTGCAATTAGTTGATGATACTAATTAACCTGGGCCCATAAAAATCAACAGGGAGCTCAAGCTAGACCACTACTTTAATTTCTTTATTTTTCCAGTGACCTACATATAATTAGTGTTCACTTGGAAAAGTTTTGGTACAACTGCAATGACATTTTTCAAAAAATCAATAATTTGTAGAGTTATACGCATTGAATAAAAAATAAATTCTTGAAAGACCACTCAGCTTCCACAACGCTGTTTGTCCTTAAACGAGCTCACTCATTCAGCTCTATAGAGCCTGTTCCACGACAGGAGTTAGTTTGGTATTCAACAGTGCAAGCCACCAACAGAACAACTGACCTTGGACAGGCCAATGGTTAATTCATAAAAAACTAAGTTCCGGCTTTCGAGTGTGCAGGTAATTTAGTAATTATCACCTGAGTTGATAACATAAATTGGCCACCAGAGTTTAAAAGTTGACATTTCAAGTGTCAGCCCTTCATCAGAGTGACTGGAGACATTATGGGTTGTGTGTGTGTTTATATGTGGAAAAAGGAGCTAAGCTATTGGTGGGAATATGGTGACAGGAAAACAATAATAAATTAGATGAATGAAAAGCACTTGTTGATACTGTGGGGATTAAGTGTGCCAATTTGAAAGAAAAACTTTTGCTCTGAGTTTTGCAGCTTCCGGAACTGCCTAGATGTAGGGAAAGGCCCCAAACTGCCATATCCTGCTAAGAATGGTTAGGGAGATTGAAGTGTCTTGTGAATAGTTTGGATGCATCCTTGTCATTTCTTTCTATGTCACAAAGGTGTTCTCGGAATCGGTCACTAAGTTGTCTTCCTGTTTCACCAATGTAAAACTTTTTGCAATAAACACAAGTTATACAGTAAATGACACTGGCTGAGGAGCATCTGAAATGAACAGTGATCTTGATGGACCTCTGAGGTTCCGGCATTTTCTCTAGATTGTGAATGAAAGTATTCACTAAAAAATTGGTGTTCGATAAAACCTACAAATAGATTGGCGTAACTGGATCCCATTTTGGTCCCCATGGCTACGCCATTAGTTTGTTTAAAGTAGTTGCCACCAAATGAAGAGCAATTGATGATTAGGACTAGTTCGGCTGGACGGAGTAATATTTCAGAGCCAGGTTCCTAAACAGAGCGTTGATCAAAAAAAAGTTTAAGGGCCCCGAGACCTTCGTCATTGGGAATGACAGTATGAAGAGATGTAATACCACAGTGAAAAGAAGTTTGTTTTGGCCAGAAAGGTTGCGAAAAATTTCAAGTGCGTGTTGGCTGTCCTTAATGTATGATGGTAAGGTTTTGACGTTAGGTGCCATAATTTTGTCTAAATAGCTGGAAATAAGCTCGGTGGGACAACTACAGGCAGAGAATATGGGTCGACCTAGGTTGTTAGGTTAGTGAATTTCAGGTAAAAAGTAAATACAGGGAGTTCTAGGAGTTGTGATGGTGAGAATTTTTGCAGTGGCCGGCAATTCTTGTCTAGCTATAAGATCGTTAGTCGTGTTTTTGACGCTCTTTGGTTGATGAAAGTGAGATCTTTGTCAACTTTGGCATTATAAGAGCGTCAGAAAGTTGCCGTAAAACCTCTTTTTGGTAGAGGTCCGCCCGCCAAACAACGACTGTACCGCCTTTCTCGGCTGCTTTTCGAATATTTGTTTTGATTAAATATTGGATTTGAATACTGTTTTCATTGAATATTGGATTTGCTGAGACAAAAGGGAACGCCTCTTCCGTTGAAAATCAAGTTAAAGTACGTTGACCAACAGATTTAAAATTACTCAACACAGGCTCGACTGATAATTCATTTAAGTTGTGGAACAGCTTACATTGTAGCTACACAACGCAAAGAATCTATTGTGATCCATGATACTAAATCAAAACAGCGACAGAAATAATGCCACGCACAACTAACCTCCAGCCACAAATGTAAGGAGTACATGGTCAGCCTTCGCCTCCATTTTCCTCTCAGAAAAACCCCAAAGTAAAACATGGACCAAGCCTAACAGAGATGATTTCGGCTGGGGTGATCAGTCCACGCCAAAAGTAAAGGAAATTCTACGTTTGTGTGTAACTTTATTTCCCGTTCTTCACTCCGGATTATATGTGCGTTCCACACTTGTAAACGAGATCCACTATCTGGGCTCTAATGCTATATTGTCGGTTATGTACAAAATCCACTATCTGAACACACTAGCACTTTGTTGTCGGATGTGTCATTGCTCCAAGGGCACGACACGCACTTACTCTTCTGACGCTGAATCTACCTGCATTGTCGCACGACCAGCAACATCGTTATGAATCATATCATGTTTAACACGTGAAAACAACAGGGGGCGGTTAAAATGTTTTGGCATTTTCGTCACGTACACATTTTCCCCATCACAGTTCCTCGACTTTTTGTGGCGAAAAGAAAACGCATTGGATGAAAGCAGAGGTGTCTGAAAAAAACCTTTTATTTTCTCTGAAGAAAAAATTGTAACAAAAGTGTTCTGTAAGGGTTCTTTTGTATGACAACTAGTTGCGTGACGGGGCAACAAAGAGTGATGCGTGATTGACTAGTTAAAAACGAGAACAACAACAATCGGCAGGATCATTTACCATTTTGGTTTCTGAGATTGGTAAATATTGTTTGATTTCATTTGTGAGACTGGGACCAGAGACATCCAAAACAGTAACGATAGTCGTGAAAATATTTTCATGTCCATTCTCCGTTGTTCGATCAGGTGCTGGGGGCATAGTGACCTTTCAGCTTCATGCACCAAACCCAACAATATAACAACTCTTATGTCATCTCTCCTGGCTTCAAACAGGAGCCCATCACTAATTACTAGTATAAGTAATGAACTCCTGCTTCACATTAGTCTTCTTGAAACTGGACGTATTTCCTGGTCTCTCCAACGGTTTGTTAAATAGATCTACCGCATAGAAGCTAATATTAATTTGGAATCTTGTCCTGTTAAAAGAAGGGCAAGATAAATCTGACCAATTTCACCTATATCTAACTTTCCTAATTTTTTATGTTAAAGGATGGTTGTACTTTTGAGAACTTTTCTTCGTCTTCTGCTTTTTTTTTCCTTTGGGCGGGAGCGGGGGGGGGTACATCCATCTCGTGGATGAAGAGACTGGGACAAAGCGGTCTACAAGCATTTAGGGCGGTGGAAGGTGTTGGAAAACGGTGAATCTGAAACGGTTAAACCTTGAGAAAAATTCAGCACCATAAAAGCTGGGTCCTCCCTCAGTTTTGTCACCCTAGTAAGTGGACAGCTTTGTAGAATCCTACTCAAGGAGATTTTCACCACCGACATAAGATATTTCATCACAGGTTATGTTACCATAGATGATGTAGCCAAAACTGTACACGTGAAGCGAACTAGTGGCGGGGATAGGGGGTACCCTTTTCTACTTAGTGTTGATTTTAATTCCTCTAAAACGACGGGCAGGTATGTAATAATGACAAACAAGATGTCTGTTTCTTGGTCATACTCCTGTATGGACGCTGGTGAACCTATTTCGATGACTTCGTCCCTAGTTAGTAACACTAATGGGCAGATATGATCTCTTAAATAAACCAGAAGTTTAATCAGAACTGCAACTGACTCCATGGAGTATTAACGGTGCACAGTGAAGCCGAACAGAAATTGCAAACACTGAATAGCTCACGATTAAATAGACCTGAAGCAGTAGCTGCTATTAAATTAATAAAGTAATTTCTCTTTTTGTTAATTTCAGGATCGGAAAATTCGTTATTTTTATGAATAAGAAGTCTCTGTGGCCTCTCTTTATTAACACTGTTGGGGTCTTTCAGGTTCCTAAATCGGTCTTGTGTTACTATTGAGCAAAGCTGTGTTTTTCAATCTTCGGTAAGTGGAAAATGACGACGAGACTTTCTCCCTAAAAGCACTTCTCAGATTTACAAACACACTCTTTCACTCTCCCTTAGTCGACGTCCTCAAAAGATGAAGAATCACTTTCACTCAGGAGCACTCTCTCTCTCAAAAAGGCTTTTCGCGCTATGAAACCAAGATTTTACATACATATATTTATTAGAATAGAACCTCAGCATTAGTTTTATCAAAGCTATAACAGAGTACATTAATCAAAACGTGAGTGAAATTATGATGATTTCTTTCACTTGTAGCTTCAGCTACTCTCACTAAGAAAGAGAAACCATGGGCAAATTCCAAAAAAAATACTCATCGTTGAAAAGGCGCTGGATATCAAACGCGGTATTTAAGTAAAATTAACGACAATTCCTATCAATCTGAATTCGAAATCTGCAAGTTGCTATAGTTTAATTGTAATATGAAGTGTTAATGTGTACTACAAAGAAAAGAAAAAATAACAGTGCTTGAAGATCAACTGGATTTCAAAAGTCTCTGGCAAACATTTTCCTCAGTGTTTCCATTCAATAGTTGGGAGGTGATTTCATCCGCATGTTATGCCAACAGCTATATACATGTATACTGAAATATTTTAAGCGTCTAGAGACGTATGAATTTAAAAGAAATGTAAATACATAGCGAAGATTAAGTCAATGATCTTTGGTTAAACATTGAAAAAAGCAAGTAAATACTGAAGGAAAATCAAGTCCAAAATTTCCTATGGGTTTAATGGTGCAATAAACGTTAGGCCTTTGACCAAACAGGGTACTCGTGATATCTCTGTCATTTTATAGAGGGTGATATGTCAAATACATATCATAATCGAAGCCAGTTTCTTCATTTTTTTTTTTCCAAAACAGTCCAATGTGTCTCTCACAAAAGTACTAAGTTGAGGCACTATCACATTCTTTTACGAAAATAAAAAAACAAAACAAACAACAACAACAACAACAATCCGAAAGAATGTGCCTCATCTCTGACATGTTTGTGGTGGTAGTGCCCAACAAGTATCTTAAAGAACGGGTTTGAATCGCCTCGAATCCTGAATTGTTTCCGGCTTTTTTTTTCCAATTTTCTAAACTGCAGCTAACCTAGGAGGATCTCTTACCTGTGCATCACTTGCAGGTCAAGTATCATTTAAATGGGATGATCAAGAAATGATCCTTTCAAGAAAGGTCATTTCTTGAAAACTAAATTCCAACCAATAAAGAAACTTTCAAAACCAGTTGCAAGAACGAGTTCATGAACAGAAATTCAGTAACTTTGACATTCTTTCTCTATGAATGCAGAAATTAACAGGTCTGTTTTGCCTACAGCCTGACACTTGCTCTGGCGAAGGTTACCACTCGAAATCTTAGCTTTAAAATTGCAGAAACGGTGGCCAATGCATTTTCAACTCAGTTGATAAAACTGAATTATCTTGTTATACCCCACCAACACAGCACCACAATTTCTTTAGAAACTTACCCCTTAATAGTTAATTACAGTTTTTTACTACCACAAATATCCTGCATATATAAACCTTCAGTTTCATACATCCCCCTCAGCCAGTGGTTTCCTTTCATTCTTCAGCTGTTTTTTCTAGTAAACGCTTTTCTACTTTCGCGACAAACTGAATAACATCTGCAGCAAATAACTCAGGTTCTTCAAAGGCAGCAAAGTGTCCACCGCGAGGCATTTCTGTGAACTGAACAATGTCTGTAAATCTGTTGTGAATCCAAGGTTCTGGAGTCCGAAAAAGTTCATGGGGAAAATCAGCCATTGCAGAAGGAACTGTAACGGGGATACTGCCAAGACAACAAAACTAAAAATTAAAAAAGCAATATATTCAAATAATATGACTCCTTAACATTAAAACACATAAATTACAATTAGCTGTCAAATAAATGCACAGAATTTTAGGCCAAAGATGTAAAATTAATACTACCAAGTTACTTGGAAATAAAAACTCAAGGACAATTGCCTATTCTGTGTTGAATTTCAGAAAGCCTTGGGGAAGGCCTCCATTCATCAACAATTGCACTAAATTCATTTGAGATTATCACTTGAATTCTTCATTCGTTTATGAAATTCATCAGTTCCATAAGTTTTTAACAAAAACTAAAGAAGACAGACATTTTTCCATGAATCAAATTAAATTAATTAATTAACTGCACACTTGTTTGAGATTTTCACCAACAGGAGGGGAGCTCATTGGAAAGAAGGCGCATAATCAAGGTGGGTGCTTATTCAGCTACCACAGCAAAAGGAAAAAAATTAAAAGAACAGAGAACACACATAAAAAACTCTGCAAGCACACAGAGAATGAAATAACTGAAACAAAAAAACTCTTCTCCTGAACTAAATCTGCTGTTATGAAGCTAAAAGAAGTTGTAAATAAAGTGGCAATAGAAACAGGTTTTCCTTGTATCCCTACTATTTTAAGAGAGTGATGAAAAAGAAGGGGAGTGCTTGTTTGACATTATGGTCTAGAGGGCAGGGGGCTATTTGGGAGAGGGCACCTATTAGGACACAAGTGCTTACCCAAGGAAATAAAGTATAAAGGTCAGGATATTTCTCACGTTGGGAGCTGTTGTAAGCTTGCCTCAGTCCAGACTTATTTCACAGGGATAATTTTGAACAATCTTAAGTCTATGAGTATCTCTTTTACCGTGATACAGAGCGCAATTCATCATCACTATGCATCGTTTCATAATACAGCCTCATTGATGAAGCAATAGAGTGAGTGGCCCAATATATCATCACATTTGTCAGCATTTCATCCTTTGTAAAGCACGATTCCAAACAGATTGCTGTGTCATTGGTTGCACAGCCACTCCACATTGCAAACTTTTCCACAAGGTAAGCTGCCAGGCCAGCCGGTGAATCATTATTTGCCAACGCAACAGTGTTAGGTCGAGTTGCTGAAACAAGATATTCAAAAAAACTTAACAACAAATATTTTCAATTAATCAGGTTTTATAAAACTAATAATATGAGTTTATAACAAGTCCCAAAATGGTCCCTAATGTTGCTTAGTTTTCTGTGATCCAATCTGAAAGAAAAATCAGGAAAATTTCTGCAAAACATAATCCACAAAAATGGAAATAAATTTCAATTTCAAATGAAAAATTATGGAAAGGTAATAGAAAATGCATGTACCTTGTAGGTGAAAATATCCTCCCTCACGCAGAATTTTAATCACCAACTTTGACAATGGGAAAATCTTTTGCTGCTCCTTTTCTGGAAAGAAGACTTTTGCCTGAATATAGGACAAGGGGTTTTTTTCAAACACTGGGAACATGTTTAAATGAAGTCCTCGAATGTGACTAGAAAATATAAAGATAGAACAAACAATCTCATAAGTAGGCATATTAAGATCAAGGTTCTATGTAAGATACCTGCTCCTTAAAAAACTTGTTAAACCTTGCCACTCTCTGTGTTGGCTGGGTAATCACTAGGTTCATATCTGACACACCTGCACAATGTTAGAACTGGTAATGTGGAAAGTGGCATGTGTGATTAGAATAAAAAGGAAGGTAAACTTTAAGCTTAATAACAATTACTAACTATAAAATAAACTAACTTTTTCAGTCCAACACTAATATGGAGGAGACAGCAGTTTTTGTGCAATATGAAAATTAATGGTAGGGTTATATGAAATGCTGGGGGGTAACCTTGCAATAGCATGGACTAGCATTCCATCCAGGGGAAGGAGGAGGAGTAGTAATACTCCTAGTTGCTTTACGATGCTATGGGGCAAACAGTATGAGCTGCAAATTTCAAACAGGGTATGCACCTCATCAAAGTTTCGTTTGTTTTGACTATCTGTGACATTTTTTTCATGTTAAGTAACAACACGATCTCTCATGTAATTTTGAGTGAAGAGGCACTTGAAAATTTTTCGAATTCGCTAATCCTGTCGTTTCTTACCTAGGATCCATGAGTGCCATTGCACAGGTTATCGCACTTCCCCAATCTCCACCCTGAATGTAATAGGACTCATAACCAAGTCGTGCCATCAGCTTGCTAAATATCCGTCCTGCGGCAAACGCCTCAAAGCCTGGCTTATGAGGGGCTTCTGAAAAACCATAACCTGGAATCGATGGACAAATGATAGAAAATGCATAATCTTCTGTTGAAGATGCTACAATCTTTGGAATGACCTTGTAGAATTCATAAAACGACCCTGGCCAACCATGAACCAGCATAATTGGAACGATTCTCTGGCCCTCTCTCAATTCAGGTTGAAAATGCAGAAAGTGGATTTTTATTCCATTTATCTTTGTCTTGTAATGTTTGTATGTGTTGAGAATTTTCTCTTGCTTACGCCAATCGTACTTCGTCCTCCAATATTCGGTCAATTCTCTCATGTAGTCAGGATTTATACCGTATTCCCAATCGATACCGTCCAAGTTTTCAAAGAAACGAGTCTTGGATAATCTTTCGTCAAGATCCTTAAGAACTCCGTCTGTCAAGCTGATAGGGAATTCATACACGCTAGAATCCGGCTTGTTATTGTTCTTGTCTCCTTTGCCCCACCATTCTTCACGATCGAGGGGCGGGGGCTTACAATCGTTAGCAAAATACCTACTCCAAATAATGGGAATTACCACCACTGAAATACTGACAATTGCTACGAAAACCGCACAATATGTCCTGCAACCCATTTATAACGCAGAAAAGAGACTTTGTATGGACCTCAAACCAATGTCACCATGCTGATCAAGCTAGACTAGAGACTACGCGGAGTCCCTTCTGAGTAACTGGACTCAGTCCCAGACTTCTGGGCGGCGCATTAACGTCCACTTTTCTTTTGACGTGCGCGATCAACGTTTGGTAATAATTAATATCCTGAAGGACTATTGAACGATCTGAAAGTACTGTAATCATGCAACATGATTGTACGAGCTCACTAGATACTTGATCGATGAATAGAGACAGAATATAGAGAGCAATTGAAGAGTGAGTGTCTCCACTAAATGAATACACAACAGTTTGCTTGTCGTGGTATTTTTGTATGTCCTTTTATAAAATAATTCAAATAGTACGCGCGCTCTGATTGGTCATAAAACCATTTTACATGAGCGTATGGAAACATGGTTTTCGTTCCTCTTTCATTAGTTATTTTATAAAAGAAATGTAAAATGGTTTCCGTGTTTACATAGCCTGATGTAAACACGCGGGAGGTTGGGAGAACACTCGATAAGCTAGAAACCACTCCACTTCGCGTCGTGGTTTCCTACGCTTATCTCGTGTTCTCCCAACCTCCCGCGTGTTTACATCAGGCTATGTAAACACGGAAACCATTTTACATTTCTTCATTGGCATACGGTCATCATCGAGGTTTTCTGGAGCAGACGCCATGTGTAAGGTGTGAGCATTGGTAGCACTAGATCCACATATGTGGTAATAACAACGTTTGTGAACCTTGGTGTCATGCCAGAAGGGTTATTTACTCATGCTCATGAGGTACATCATGAGCAAGAGCTAATAGTTTTTGAAACCCACTTTGGTTGAGTACGAGTCTGTGGGGCAAGTGTTTTAACCCTTTAACTTCCATAATTTCTCCTTACAATATCTGTACAATATCAAACAGATAATTGATAAAAATAAACAAAAAATATCAATTATCAGACTGTCCGTTAAATTAACAAATTAACCTCAAATAAGAATTGTATGGCAGACAGTAAGGATAATTACTAATGAGATCTTGGGAGTGAAAGGGTTTAAAACAATAAAAATTGCTGTGCAGGGCAAAACCAAATTGAAATCTATTCATTTAATATTAAGGAAAACTGAATGAAAATTGCTCTTAGCTAATCAGATTTTCTCTTTATTAAGTTAAGTAAAACATAATCAAAAATTTATTGTAACTGATTGAGCTGGATCTAAAATCTTCAACTCTACCCTCACTTCTGTCAAGTGATACATATTTTGGTGTGGGAGCATAAAAAAAATAATCTTCACACTCATGTATATATGGATGGACTTTTTCTTAAATCTGGATTGAAAATTTATATATATTAGATATGAAATATATTCAAATTATTTGTTCATACTTCACAAACAATCTGTAAAATAAACATAATAAATAAATTGAAAATTCAACTTTTTTCCCTAGTTTTTTCCTTTTCTACACCCAACCCTCCAACTCAACAAGTATGTATCTCTCAACTTAACATGTTTGAAATTCATAATCATATGGATGAAATATTGTGAGTTTTTGGAAAAGCTGATATGGTGCAACTTTCCAGTGTCAAACAGCAGCTGTGCTGTGATGATAATGATGATGATAACAACATCTTCTTTCAGTCTGGTCTTTTTTGTTTTTTCCCTTATTCCATGTAATGTTGAAAGGTACATACCAACAACTCAATTGACTCAACATGCCACACTATGAATCTAGCCTTCTATATATTTTACCTATTTTTGTATCATAGAAATGTCTTAGAAATAATAACAATTAAAAGCTAATAAAACAAATCCACATATTGGCCTCTGGGTTACTGGTCAAAAAACATTTTGAATAACATTCAATTTCCACTGGCTAGTGTTTAAACATGTTTGATGAATGGATTACGGATAAGATTTGCTGACAAATATTATAATATAGTCATGCTTAACTCATAGTTCATATTCCCAAGGGATGCAAAATCTTGTTTTAACTGTTTCATTTACTGTAGTAACTTAGGTAATTCAGAAAACATAATAGTTCCTTAGACTATGAACAACAAAATGAATGGGTAAAAGAATATTCTAAGCTCCATCATAAGTAAAATCCCCAATGCAAAATAATAATGAATGAAAACTGTGCCCAAATTAATATAATCTTAAAAAAATAGTTTTGCTGCTGTTTCAACCTTTTATATCCATAAGGATATGGTAGCCCTTCAAGGGCCAATTTTTTAAATTTTTTTTTTTGAGTCAAACTAAGCATCATTATTTTAACTAGAGTTTCCAAGAAAATTTTTGATAAAATACATCTTTTAATTTTCCCATATATTTTCTGAACATGACTCCTCTGTGTTTCTTTTATGGTCTTAGTCTCCACTTTCATTACTACTGTGATAATTTTGTAGAATTACTCACTAGGCTTTGCCCTAACCTAGGTAATTTATAATTTAAACATATTTAAAACACTTTGACTTGTCACTAGGAATTCTGGTTTTAAATAGGACAGAATCAGCCCTAAACTGTGTTCTCAGCAGTGGCATGTAACCATACACCTTCACAAAGAAATTGATACATTTGCTGCGTTCCTCAAAGTGAGTTTTATCATTCCACAGTGACACAGGACAGTTTGGGCAGGAGAAAGTCCAACGTGAAGTCACCTAATGAGATACAACATTACTTTATAACTAAAAGCTATTGAGTGTTATAGCACAGCTACTGTTAACCTTTCTACCAGGACATTATTATTCATATTCTTCTCACTGTTATCTTATCATTTCCCACAATACTGACAAAGAGAATTTGTTTGACAATCACAAGCTTATTAAGTTTTCCATCATTTTCCTTATTCTCATGAGTTTCATGTTTGATTCAGCAGTGATGCTTTAAGGAGATATTAGACCTAAATCACTCTTAGGAGATAACGGGTTAGGACTGATATACATTACATAAAATGTCTGCCTGTTTATTTTGACACCTGAAAGTCAGCCTACAGCTACAAAATATTTTTTCCAAGAGAGGCCCACAATGACATAAAACCATAAATACATCAACCAAATGAGTCAGCTATGTGCCAATGGAAAAAGAAGGGTTGCTACTGTCCTAGTTGAGCAACTTGAAATTCTAATAAATCCCTCATCACAAACTCAACTCATCTGGTTACATACCTTTATGGGAGGTTTTCTTGTGATGTGAGAGACCAAGAAATTCATGGCAAGGTCCTCGCAATTCATGTATTCGTCAACTTTGTCTCTGATAATTTGTGGCATCCAATTTGTATATAAATAACCAAAATACTGAGAAGAAGAGAGAAATTGAATAAACATTTTCAAAATTGAGTGTTAAAAAATTATACTTCTCCTCTAGTTACTTTCTGCACACTTTTGGAGTAATTTTATAGTTACAATGGCCCAGCATTCTGGTAGGAGGTCAGCTCATATTCATCAGAGCTGCTCTGTGGATAATGTCCATCTACTTCAAGGTTGACCTTGTCTTCAAGCAAGGAAACACCAAGGATCACAACAGAACACATGTGTCATAAATGACATCATTGGCTGGAGAAAACTAAAAAGGTGGCTGAGGGGTCTATGCAAAAAACTAATTATCAACAATAATAGTAAACCAAAATCTTTAGGACCCTTTTGATGTTATATTCAAATTGTACAGATAGGGAGGATTGATGGGGCTCAATTTTGGGTTTTAACATTTTCATTTCAGTTTTAGAGAAGACTTGTGATAACATCTTCAAGATTACAATGTACCAAAATGTATGAAGCATAGCCTCTCTTTGGCACTAAAACATACTTGCACATTTGTCTACAAACATTATCTGTTCTGAAAAGCAAACATTTTTCCAAGAGCAAAATTCACAGAAAACTGTATGCTTAAAACAAAAGACAATGTTCAAGAAAAATTTACCTGCATATCCTCAAACTAATGGAGGGCTATTGTGTTTTTCATCTTTCAAATATATTTTGCATTTAGGAAAATATTTAATGTACAGACAGGTTTATCTTTCCTTTGACACAACAACAAAATGCTTTTCCAACTTGATTGACCTTTATCCCAACAGTAGGAATATATCTTGACTAAAAATTGCCAAATATTCCACACTTTAATTGGGGGTAAATTTAGTCACCAGACACAATCGGACCAACTGCATGTAAGCAAAAATATTTGAAGGACTCTAAATACAATTAATTACATCAGGTCTTGGTGATCTATCATTCAAGAAGGCTGCTATATTTGGCTAATTCGAAAAAAAATTGACAACAACAACTTGTTTAACAAAGAAATGGGGAAATTTGACCTGATGCAGCCTTTTCCCTAGCTGGCAAATCCAATATTACTTGTCCAGAAGCATTTCCTCTTACTCACCTTGTGGTAGAAAGCTGCACCAGTGAGTATCATAGAAAGTTCACATGAATACTCTGAACTGTACAGCCACTGCTTGTTCTGAGCATCCCAAGCGTGGAAACGTGCTGGGAATCCTACTATACGATCTCTTGCTTCCCTCCAAACTCTACAAAACAAGATTATTCACTTAATAATATAAAGTGAACTAACTTTTTCACACCCTGAGTGGCAGAGATGCTTAAGAGGTACCCTTCTGGCAGTCAGTTTCACTGCTAGATGACAATCTGCATTATAACATGGCAACAGAAAGATGCTTGCTTACTGTCTCAAAAAATTCAGTTTAGAAAATTTTAGTTTGGAAACACTGAGCACTTCCATGATCTGTTAATAATAAAACTTTGGTCACCTGAATCCCAAGAGTATTTCATCAGGTCGCATTTCTACATCATCATCAATAGAAAAAATAGCATCTGTTTCTATAACATCATAAGGAATAAATCGATTGTTCAAACTGTTCTTTGCTACTTTAACAACCTGTTCAAAACATAAAAAAAAAATAAGTACAGCTTATTAGTATAAATGCACAAGCCTGCTATGCTGAAATCTGATGCCTGTGGTACTATTCCCTAATAAGTGAGTGAGTATGCTGACATTCTGTGGTTGTCACCAAAATAAACTAAAATTATGAGACTGTCTTGTTGTTAATTTTTGGGTAATTGTGAAAAACAGCTCCCCCCACCGACAGTTAGCAAACTGTCAGCCAACTGTTGGCCAACAGCTTACTGACAGTTGGCCAACAGCTTTATTTCAGTTTTGCTGAAAAGATAACTTCCTGCAAGACATCTGTTGGCCAACTGTCTACTGACTGCCGCTTGACTGTCAGGAATCTATTGGTAAGGTGTTGGCAACTTGTCAGTAGAATGTCGGTAATTTTAGGTCAATTATTGCCTTGAAAAATTTATGATTTACAACCCATGATGATTGCATCGAAAAGATAAAATAAAACTCTGAATAGTCTCCAGCTCTTTTATGTTAGCTCAGCACAATTTCTAAGCTATTTCTCTCCTAACACTCACTTCAATTCCTAGCCCATTCACCATTGTGGATTTTTAACTTTGCCCCAATCCCCCTCTTGCAAGTACAACTGAGGGCACATTTCTAGAGGCACTTGGGTTTTTTACAACACTTTGTAACACCTGGAGCCACGATTATTTCTGACAAGTTTTCCCCTTACTTCAACCTCCACAACCTGGGCTACATCCACCTCATGGTCAACCACTTGGAGACCTTTGCCAATCCTTATAAAGCATACATGTGCAAAAACACACATGTGTGCTTTCATCAGTTTTGTAAAATGTAAATATGGTGTCTAATAAAGCTATTTCACTGCCTGTCATTAACCTGTTGGTTACCTGTTGGTGGCTTGTCAGTTTAGTGTCCGCCAACTGTCTGCTGACTGTTGGCCGACATTGATATTACAACAATGAGACAGTCACTTTTTTTACAAAATCTTTTTAGCTTTGACTGTATCAGAATCAGTGTATGTAGCATTGAGCACCTCTTGGGTTAAATATCTGTCTAGTATTAAGCAATAAGCACTTGGTTACTCTCTTTTAAGCAATACTGATATAAACATTTGATAACAACTTTAAAATTGGCTGACTGATAATCACTAAGGAATAATTAAAATAATTCCATCATCAACTCACATGAACTGGAACCCCAATATCAGGCCATCTAAGGGACAAAGATGGCGGCTCAGGACTGTTCCACACAACTACTACTTTATTAAGATACTGCAGCCCAACAAGACGTTGAACTGCTTCAATAAGTACTAGTTCCCTCTGATATGTCAAGATGACCACTGTAAACTGTTCTACTGGATGATTTCCTCCCAAAGCTTTACTGAACTCTACACCTGCCCCACCCATCCCATCACCAATGAGTTCAAACTCAGTGCTTGAATTCTTGAAAGGTGCTGATGATGGCAGGACTGGAGCAAAGGGTGTACTTGGATACATTCTAAATGAACCCGGAGGGTAATTCCATACATTATAGGCATCGACAATGGTCATTGTTAGATTCCTGATGAAAGTTGGAGACACTTGTGGTAAGCTTATTAGTGCATCTGGATCTGGAGGACTTGTTAGTGGTGGATTAGATTCACCAAAAACTGACACTGTTGGCAATGCAGTCACAGGATCAGCAGGAATTGACAAGCGTGTTCTTAAGGTGGCTAACACTGTCTTCAAAATAGCATCAGTTGTTGAAAGATATGTTTCCCATAAGAATCTTCCTTGACGGCGAAGGTTTAAGATATCTTCATTCGTTATAGTTCTAAGTAAGACATTTAGTTCTGGTAGGCGAGCTTGAGTCAGGATGATAGCTGCTTTTCGCCAATCAATCATATCATGGAAAGGTAAAATAAAGTCATTGGACAATATGACTGGTATAGCTCCAAACTGTAAGGCTTCCAGCAGTCTAACTTGCATATTGTCCCAACTTGAGCCAACATGATTTGATCCCACTATTAAAGCAAAAGTTGATTGTCTCAGTATCTTTGATCTGTTTTCATGGCTACCCCATAATAACCAATCACCACTTTGCTTTGAGCTTAAGAATTCAGATTTTGATAAATACAGTTCAATGAACAAGTCTCTGGCCTCTTTGGAGATTTGATGAAGTTGATCACGTAAAATTGTCATTGTATTAGTTAGATGATCTTTATGTACACCCTGAAAACTTAATAAAAATTTTCTTCTAGCTGGTAGGTGTAAAGCAGCAAGATGCCAAACATCCCCAGTGCTGGGTCCATTTGATGGTGGTACAACAATATCAAAGCCATGGCGATATGTTCTATCTTTTAAAAATGTTGATTGAGCAATTAAGGCAAGGCCTGTGTTGATGCCCAGAGAGAGAATACTAGTAGAATCCCTTACACTTGTTCTTATGTGGAGAAGTAAATGATTTTTACCATTTCCTCTCCAGTAAGGCAGTAAGTGTAAATCATTCTCCAGTTCACTCTTACTCTTTGAATGCCGACTTGCTTCGATTGATCCAACAATGACTATGTACAAGCAAGCTTTCTCAGGTTCAACAGTATAATAGGGATTTCCCTTTAACAGCTGAAAAATTTCCATCCCACTTGAATCTGACAACAACTGGCCAAAAGGCTGCTCATAGACATACACTGGAAAACCTGAGCCAAATGGACACCTTGAGAAATCAAAGCAGTTGTGTAGGTGACAGTTTGATGCAGTACTTTGGTGAAGAAGTAAATCACTGCTCTCTAAATATGCTACATCTAACTTGTGCGGTAGTTTTAAATGTGGTAGTATTGGACAGTCATTAGCCCTTCTTTTAGCAAGTTTAATTAATTCAAGTTCCCTTTGTGCCCGAGCCACATCACGCTGATAATGTTCAGCTTGACTCCTGTAGGCTTCTGCTGTTTTAGAATAATTGGAAATGATTCGTAAAATCCTGTTCTTTTTACCTTCCAGCTCTCGTAATTCATTACCCAGAGACAATTTGATCCTCTTCAGCTCGTCAATTTCGTATTTCAAATCATCAATCCTGTCTAGAATTGAATCAACCCTGTCAGCGGGTCTGTCTAACTTTATCGTTCGCGACTGAAAACTTTGTCGAGTCTCTTGAGCTAAATAGTAATGTGTTATTAGCGGTACCACGAGTCCAAATACCAGAAGGAATGCAACTAGTCGCCCGAGCGACAAGTCTTTCAGTTTATACATCAGGATGTGCATTGTAGCATTAAGTTATTCCTTCTTTCCACACGAAATAAAGTTTCTTTGTACACTGGTGGAAAAAACCTGGGGCCTCATTGATGACTAATTTTTTAAATGTGCGCCGTAATAGATCCCAGTTGTTCGACTGAAACGTGATATTCCTGTAACATTGAGCTTACAACCTTGAATTGCATTACTGCATGTATCCGTCAATCTTTCCGAAAAAGCAGGAATGAGGGCCCAATTTTTTGAATCAAGTACGACTCAAAATATATTTGAAAAGCAAAACACTTTCCCTTTCCAGTGAAACAGACTCAAATTACGTCTACAATCCAGGAAATGCCATCCAAGATCCAAGATCCGCTAATGCTCAAAATCAAATTGAAGTTTAAAGTTGCGAGCAATTCCACATTCTGTCGCAGTTTCTCATCAGATAACTGCCAGCTGCTTCATTCGCAATTTTTAAACACTAGCTGGACGATATAAACTTCACTCACCGACCACTAAGTGTTTGAGAGTACCGGAAAACAACGAAACAGACAATTTCAAAATAGCGCGAACGACGACGTGATGTGAAGGGCCGTGATAGACTGGTTCAAAGTTTTCCCCAGAGCGAGCTTGCGTGATTGGCCCATTAGAGATTGCTTGCTGTCAAAACTAACAAATACTCGGAACATTCTTACTTGCTGGGCATCGTTTCCTTTGTTCCACAAACAGACTGTTCTGTTCAACAGATCTACTTAAATAGAGATGAGTTTCCATTATTTTCTGCTTACAATCAACAACGGAGATTGTACATTAGTGCTGATAAGGGCTTTATGAAGTTTTGTTGTATGTAAGTACTATGGTTCCACTTTCGGCGGGTTTGGTTTGATGAAAGATGTGATCAGATCGTTATCAGGAATATTTAATGAGTGTTCTCTTTCCTCTTTCTTTTCCGGCCGAAATTTTAAAAACATTTCCTATGTGTGAGTTTCCAGAGCGTCTCACGGAACTACCCATTGAAGGGAAATCGGGTGAAGTAAGTAACTTGCTGCCCAGGCACTCCCGTCAGTTTTAGCACAGCAACGTTGCGGGTGGCGAACGCATGGCATTGTTTCCATAATGCAAGCAGACAAAAAAGAACGTCTACACCTCAGATCGACACAGTTCGCGCCAGTCTCTCGGTCGATGGAGAGTTCGGGAGGAGCGAAAAACGGCGCCTGTGTGAGAACAATGAGAACGGCAAGACACCAACTACCTTTCCGCACTTTGTGAAAAGGTCAATTTGGGAAGGCTAATGAACGAGCGGACTCGGCTGCCACGCCTCAGTTAACTAAACTGAATCAAGATCGTTAAATGATAAAGCCAAGACCTGAGATTTGGAGAATAATGAAATAATGCTTGGTGAACTTTCCGGCAAGTCTTCGGCATGTGTGCGGTTTCCGCTCATTAATTATTCGCCAAAATGACCAAGAAAAAGTTATGTGGCTTGGTAGGCAGACGCCATACTCCGCAAACAAACAATATTGCGACCTCAGAATGCTGCAAACATCTGAACCCACAAGAAAAACATTGGCAAAAACATTTGGTCGTCAAAGCTTCTTCTATTATGAGCCACATGACATATATATATATATATATATATATATATAGATATATTATGAGAGGAAAAAACGACGCAACTACATATCCCGACAAGCCTGTTTCGTGAATCGCTTCACTCTTCAGGGGTTTAATCCCCTGAAGAGTGAAGCGATTCACGAAACAGGCTTTAAACCCCTGAAGAGTGAAGCGATTCACGAAACAGGCTTGTCGGGATATGTAGTTGCGTCGTTTTTTCCTCTCATAATATTTATTCTGCTCTGCTTCAACGTATTGAGCACTGTTCCACGCGAAAATCGACTTGCAGACTTATATATATATATATATATATATATATTATATATGTGTGTGTGTGTGTGTGTGTGTCTGCGAGTCTGTGTGTGTGTATTAGAACCAAGATTTAATTTTAGAATCAAGAAATTAATCTTTTCAAATTTCATGACATCACACGAAAACCAAGAATACGGAAAGTCAAAATCTCGAATAGAAAGCACTAAATGTTGATTGTTTCACTTTTTCGTCATGTCGAATTTAAAACTCAATAAGTGCTCGTTGCTGGCTTTGAAGCATTACTTTGCTGACTGTGGCTTAGTCACGGGTTTTGTGAGGGACAATTTAGGTGGTCAGTAGTGGGTGAGTACTTTAGAACTAAGAAACGCCTGAACTTTGTGACGCCTCGTCACACTCAAGGGACGTGCCTTTTGTGGGGTCTGGAAATGTTCCCTCAGAGTCAAACCCCCCGGCTTAGTCTGTCTAAGTAATCCAGCGGCGCTCCATTCATTCTTTCACACCGTCAAATACAGATTACAGTTTATGGTCCTCATGGGGGCCATGAGAAATCGGAAAACATAACGATTAACCGGGAAAGGAAACATGATGCTTCGCTGTAACTGGCTAGTTTTCCACTGTGCATTACGCAGATGGGTTCCGTTCGCGGTCTGCTGTTTTACGGCTCTTCTGTTGATGTGTTTCTGAATCATAGGTGTAGGCGCAAGAATTTGTATTATCATTTTTTGTTAGTGTTGGTGTTTCATAGTTTCGTGTTAGGTGTTTATTTTCTCGTCTTCCATTAGTGTCCTTTGTCAGTTACCAGTTTTGTACTTGTTATATTTATTTGCATATCGTATATATATTGGTTGCGCGTAATTTATTTGGTTAGTTGTCTAGTTTGCGAAAATTATCGTTACATATCTAGCTCTGGGTTTCATGTTTTCGTCTTTGGTTTGGTCACATTCGTCTTGTAAGTATCCTTGTTTATTTCGCTTTGTCGTTTTCCAGTACTTTCACTCATACGATGTAAGTTATTTTATGCTCATTCGCGTGTTTGTAATTTTGTCATTTTCAGTTACCGTATTCAACAATGTGTCAAGTTTGTTCTAGTAAAGTTTGAAATACGAGTGATTAGCGTTTGCGGCTATAATAGGTATCCATACTACTGAGATTTCTATTGCAATGTTATTACTGTTGGGGTGATGTCTCTTAGTGAATCCCCTCCATTACCCTGCGTTAGTAACAATGGGGATCGCCATCAGTGTTCTAAACTTCGGTCCGATGCGTGTGTGTCCACTTTAGTGAGCTTTCTAAACACGGCCGGGAAAAGTCTTAAGCGAGTTTAGAATGTCACTGTCCTGCCTCTTACTTCTGTCTTGCATACACCTCCCAGAAAACCACGCCAAGAGAGGATGAGGTAAAGGTGTCTTGGGTTAAGTTTGCAGCGTCTTTCGGCCGCACTACGTCTGATCACTGCGTATTCTTCGACTTGAAAACAGTTCATACGCCCTGTTGATGTAGGAAGGGGAAAAGTTGCTCAGACAAACCGTTAAAATTGGCAAAAGCAGACTACGGTGTATTCCGTGCAGAATCCTGCACAGCCATGGAAAAGTAGCCAATCACAGCGCAGCATTATGCTAAGTAAGGTGACATTTATCCAAGTGACATAATCGCCTAAATAAAACTAATTGAAGGCAGACAAAAGTTGCGATCCACTTCGGAAGTGACCACCCGATGAGCAGTATTGTAATATGATTAACTTTTCACTGGGTTTTGGGATTCCAAACAGTAACCAAATCGTTTTGAATTGTCTTTAAATGTGCTTGAAATTCGGGGCAAGGACACTGCACAAGTAAAACCACAATACGCCATAACAGTTTCTTCCCTCAGTAGTTAGTTAGTTTTCATTATGCCAGCTGGCATGTAGGACAGCAACGAAGGTCTTCTACTCCTGGTTGTTCTGGGCCAGCTTGATGATGGAACCGCAAGTGTTTTTCCAAGCTTTCGGTTTTCTTTGCCCTGTACGAAGCCAGGTGTTCTTGAATCTGCCACTAGTGCTCTCTTCCTCCTCCCTTAAGGTGTCCAGTGGAGCGCCTCACCGTCGAGTAATGCTATTCAGTTCATGCCAATCAGGTCATGTCTGACCACTCTCTACCGCCATCTGAGTAGGATGGTTCCAATGTGCTCCTGCCGACACCGAACAAACTCTTGGTCGTTGGAGATAGTGAATAAAGGGGGTAAGTTACTAAAGAAAGTGTGGTACTACGTCGGTGGAAGAGTATAACAGGTAATTTGGTGATAACAACTGAGTTGAAAACGTAAATTGGCCACCGTAAAGAGTTAAAAAGCTGACGTTTCGAGCGTTAGCCCTATCGCTCTGACGAAGGGCTAACGCTCGAAAAGTCAGCCTTTTGACTCTTTACAGTGACCAATTTACGTTTTTAACTCGGTTGTTAACACCAAATTCCCCATTGGAGTGTTTGGCCAAAAAATTTCCCTTTCGTCTGCGTTTGCACAGGATACCTCATCAGTGCCTTATGTCTCGATCATCCTCAGACTTAAGGTCTCAGTTGCTTTCTTAGCAGTTATCAGAGTGAACTTTTCACTCATATCAAGTGGCAGAGGCTGTTGAACTGTGTTTTCTGATACGTTTTCCTTTTCCAAGCCGCAAGTCAACGACAAGTCGTAATCAAACCTCGTGTCTGTATGATGCTTTGCACCCACACGGATGTTGATGGGCTCGTTAAATTCACTTTCCGGAGGTTTGCGATCCATTAAACTATAAAACTGTGTTCCAGGAGGAACTTTTTGCGACCAAAGTTCGACCTGGCTTAAACATTTTTCTGTGTCTGTGAGGCTACGATCAGCATACCCGCTAAACTTACTTTCTAAGCCTTCTATGCGCGAGACTCGCGGCCAATCCCTTCGGACACCCCTACAGGAGGAGTTCATGTTCCCCTTAGGGATCGAGGTGTTCTTTTACCGACGACTTTGTTGTTTAAACCCCCAAACTCTTCTTCTCTCTCTCTTCTCCTTTTGTTGGCTCCTGAAAAGAGAAGTGTATTCGCTCTATCTCAGGAAACATGGAAATTCTTGGAAAACAATGAGGACTGTTTCTATCGTGACTATTTTTTAAGTGTTTAGCCTCAGTTTTTTTAAGCTTA